TATCCGATAGAAAAGTAATGAGTTAAGTAAGATATCTAAATAGATAGTTTTGTTATGGTTTTTTGTTTTCATTTAGCTCATTAAATTTAAAATTATTTTTATTTTACTTTTCTCTAATTCACGCCATATTCCATTTTAAAACTTGCACGCAAAAAAAAAAGAAAATATTTCTGTATTAAGAAAGTGTATAAAATATTATAGGGGTATACGGTTTAACCGGATTAAGGAGTTTAAGACGAAAATGAGGAATAAAGTAGAAAAAGCCATTTAGTCAGAAGTCAGAAAACAATTTGCCAAATTTCCCTATTGACCTGGAATTTAAAATAATCTGGGAAGAAGTGTTTAAGAGTAAAATAAAACATTGTCTTGTGGTTATTGTTGTAGTAGGATGTACGTTGGAGAATTTTGAAGTACAATAAGAAAGGTTAGGTTAGGTTAGGTAACTCAACGAAGGTATAATAGACCCTTTCGACATATTGGCTTAAATTTTCTAATGTATCTTAAGTCCCTTTAAATCAAGATTAAGAATGAACTAATAAACAATTCATGCATCTTCTGATCACTTGATGAATTCCAACTATTGAGTTATGTCTAGAGTGTAATTGCACCTTTGATAATGAAAAATAGATGGAGTCAATTATATTATTCGTCTTTCCATGGTAGCTAGTCACATTAAAGTAGACTTATCTAGCCTATTTGCGCTTTCTTTAATACCTTATTTTTGCTTTAGAGAAAAAAAGATGCAACCCGCATTAAGGCCAACACAATGAAGGCATTTCAGACACGAGCAAGAAGTAGTTGCTAAACAACATCTGTTCTTGTTTATTATTTATTATCTTCAGAGTCTATGAATTATTGTTCTGTTGTTGGTTTTCATCATATTTTTCAACTACTGAAATGCTTCAACTTTACAGGTTTTTTCCTAGAACAGCAATTGTAAGCAAATTTCTTCGGATGATATATTTTTTTATGATACAGCAATAAAATGAAAACAAACATCATAATTAGGATCAGTATTAACTGATGGTTTAGTTTCTACACCATGTCACAGGTGTTTATTGTCAAGAACAGGCAAAATTGACCATACGGTCAAGGTATTGCGTACAATGATGGTATGCCTTCAAAGGTATACTACTGTGGCCTACAGAAGTGGATGAATTTGACCTGCACTCCTTCATTTTTGGTCATTTATGGCGAAAATGTACTTGACTTCAAATGTTACCCTCCTTTATTGCGGTATTTTTACCATAAGCCCTTTGAGAAAATCAGTCAAAATTTTTCGTCCTACATTTGCAGTGCTCCGCCCCGTAAGTAATTTTAATGTTACTCAATATTTCTTAAAGGTCGTCTTGCTCTATTTTTCCATACAATGGAGAGTAATATACTGAGCAAAAAAAAATTTTAATTTTAATTGTTTTATATGCATAAATATTTTTGAAATATTACTTTCTCTCGTTGATGTATGACACTGGAAAAACCTGTAGTTGTGAGAACGTTTTTATAAAAGTTTTTCATTGGTATAAAAATAGTTTATTTATAATTGTATGTAAAGATTCGAAGAGAGTAAATTAAATAACTAAATTACCTGAAATGGTTAATTATAAACTTTAGAATAAATTGACTGTTGGAAAAAAATCAAATGTTCATATTAACAAGAAACAACCACTGAGTTTCTGCTCTGATTCATTATTATAAAAACATTTGCTGCCAAAATTGTATTATTTTATATTTTTTTTTAATTTTTAAACAATAATAAAAAAATAGTATTTAAAATAACTGCGAAAATAACTATTCGAAATACCGCTAATCAACTAACTAGATAATCCGTGCATGTATCTAATAAGATAATTAATCTCAGAGGTACAGTATTGTTCCTAAAACTATGAATTTATTTCAGTGCAACTGCTTTTTCGTCTGTTCTGTCAATACTTGACCATCAATACAATTGTAAGAATTTATTATTTTTCATTGCTGTACCAGTCATTCGTTCAGCGTTTGATTAATTTATTATTGAGAAAAAAAAATGTCAAGTATAAACTATTGAACGAAAGAACTGAAGCATGAGATAGGATTGCTTTTGTCGAGAGGAAGCACATTGAAATTGGATTTTTGTCACCCTGTATATCTCTGTTAGAAAATTTCTATTCCTGCATAGGAATAAATACATGTTATTTTAAAAATATAATTATCCGGTTAAATCTAGTATCATCAAGTATAAAAATATATAATTAAATACATATTCATACAGTCAATCATATAATTATATACATTTTTAATAAAATATAATTTTTAAATAAAATTTAATTAAAAAAAATACTTCTTCTTAATATTATTTCAGAAAATGAATATCTCTCAACAAAATTTTAATTTTTTCACTGAATATTATGCAGTAAAGAAATAAATATTAAGTTGTAAAAGTGAATGTCGAATAAAATATATTGACATGGAATGCTTTATTTGAAACTTAACTAAGTGACTTGTAACTTGTTTATAAATAATCTCCTCACTTGGTTGACTATTTATGACAGTTAGAGAATTTTAAGAATGTTTAAGGATACCTAAAACTTGCAACGAAGGTGCGAAAGGACTTGCACAAAACTAAGAGACCCTTTCGAAAGACCCAGATTTGATGAACAGAAATGAAAAGAAAGCCATAACCCAAGTAACGCCTATTTTTTGACAAGGTCTTCGACGACAGAAAAGTAATATAATGTTAAATTCGCATATAACTTGTGACCTTCACATCCCACAGTTTTAGAGTGTCATAAATGTGTTTGATGGGAAGGAATTGACGAAGGATGATAATTTATCTTCCGAACAAAAGTTGATAGTGTAAAGGTCGAAGAGATTAGAAAATCTTTTCTTTCTTCCAGAGAAAATCTTCAAACCATTTCTCCAGGATAAAGGGTTGATTAATATTTTTCAATCAAATTTTGTTTCAACTCACTTTCTCTTTTGGTTTCTTATATTTTTTCTTTGGTGTGAAACTGTGAAAAGAAAGTTTATTACGTGACCTGTACTTTTGTATTTCCTGTGGCATGCAAATCCTTAAAGTAAACTAATATTCAAAATCTTTAGATATATTTTTTGAACAAAAAATTATTTTTGATAAAAAAGAGTTTCGGGTATGTAATAAATGTGGTGACTAGACTCCTGAAAAAAGTGTCGCCAGGATGTTTTTTTTTTAAAATAATCCTTTAATGCACTAAACATTCAATTCTGTGGGAAATTCAGTTCTAGAAATTTTTCTTTTATTTTCTTTGAGGAATATTGAAAGTAAAAATTAAAAATGATTGTAAATAATAATTTATAATAATAAACATTTAATTTATAATTTATATTTATATTAATAAATATAATTAATATTATAAGAATAATGAATAATAAATATTCAGTTTTAAAAAAACAGTTTCAAGAAATTTATCATAAAAAAATTTATTATAAATAAATCATTGAATCAACTAAAAAAATTATTTCGGAGTAGTTTGAATTATAATATTAATATTTAATTTTTTTTAATGCACTAAACATTCAATTCTGCGGGAAATTCATTTCTAGAGATTTTTTCTTTTATCTTCTCTAAGGAATATTAAAAGTAAAAATTGAAATAATAGTTTAAAATAATAAACATTTCATTTATAATTTATATTTATATTAATAAATATAAATAATATTATAAAAATCCTAAGTAATAAATAATAGTTATAGATAATCAGTTATAAAAAATGTATTATAAATGAATAAACTAAAAAAATTATCTTGGAGTTGTTTGAATTATAATATTAATATTTGATTTTTTCCATGATAATGAAAATGAATAAATCGACGTAAACTCCATTTCATTCATCTGTGACTGTGTGAGGCTTCGCGGTGGGATTTTAGTTGAGGGGTCAACTGTACATAGGGATATAAGAAACAAAGATAGGAGAAAAAAATAAAATAAAAATGGTGAAGCTACACAAGAGGGTGGTAGACACTATGGAGAGCAATAGCAAAGACATCCTGATTTTGCTATTCTCCAAGGAAACAGACAACAAAAAAAAAATACATACTACACATCCACCACATATACGTACACTTTTATGCGGAAATGTGGATGAATTCTATCGCAGGGGGTTTTCCCAAGTAAAGCAAGAACACATCTAATGTCTTTCATTTGACTTTTCCCCTCATGAGTGCAACTAAAATATACTCAAACAGGAAATAAAATTTTTTTCACTACATTGCAATTAATTGTCGACTCCATTTTAATAATAATAAATATAATAAACATTTTTAAATGAATTTTATATTTTACAATAAAAGAAAAGCATGAAAACTCATCAATTGATTCTTTTTTTAAATTATTTTTTTAATTATAACAATAATGACGTTAATAATAATATCTTTCAATAATAATTATTGTTATTATTATAACAAAATAATTGTAAAGCTTTTAACATCATTCTACTAATCAATCACCAATCAAATCTATATTAAATAAATGAAAATACAAAGGAAGATAAATTTCCTATTGCTTTGATTGATTTCCACAACTTTAAATGAATTTACTCATCTTGCTAATGCTAGTAAAATGAAAGAAAAAAAAAGAAAAAATAAATAGAGTTTACTTATTTATTTAGATTGATAATATGTTCGAATACTATCAATTGAATAAACAAAAGCGCGAATTTTCATATTAACCATCATTTGAAATCATTTTTTTTCTTCTCATCTGATAGAGATGTACAAGTATGGTCTCTTTGGAGTAGCGAAAAATGTATGCAAAAAAGAAGATAGTCTGATGAGAGTGCTGGTATGTACAAGAGAGATAGACAATAAGTAAAAAGCGTATTGTCTTGAGAAAAAGGTTGTTGGAATAAGGAGGGGGAATGAAGCAGTTGCCAAAACTCGACAAGTTCACCAATAGCATCTTCCTGATTGGCCCTTTAGGAAGGGTGGGGAACTAGGGTGACTGCCTCCATCGCAAATCCCCCAAATATTGGCTGGTGGTCTATCACTTGAGGTTCAAACTCAACGTGGGTCAGTTGGGTCCTGAACCCAAATACAATCGGTCGTAGTTGCCTCTAGTGCCCTAACTTTGAGTGAAGTCTAATCATATTTGACATAAGCTCAACAATCAGTTCAAGTTATAAGTGTTTCTGTGGTGACTTATAAACTTTAGTTGATGAATAAACAATTGATCTTGAATAATTATTGTGAATAAACTTACAATTGTTTTGTGAAGTTTTTCATCGGATCCAAGATTCATCAACGCAACCTTTTGGAGTAAGTGAGAATCCAGTGCTGTTCTTGAAATCAAAGGTATATTTGTTATATTTCTATTTTACTTATAATATTGTTTTATTTTTATTTATCATCATTTACTTCATTTCATTTGCTTTTGATACTTTCAAAGAAAATTATTATAACTTGTACCGGCTAGTTTTTGTTATGTTTTCAATTTTCATTCACTTCTATTTATCATCATACCAATCATCACACACGTGGATTGCCAGGAAAAGTTTCATACTGATAACTTGTTTTTTGTTTTTTTTTTGCCTCTCTATTCTGAAAACTGAATATTTCGAACGAATTTATTATAATCCTCTGGTCGTTTTAAACATTCATCATTCACTTGTTAGAGTTTATTAAACGAAACAATTTTTTTTCAAAGTTAAAAACAATAATTAATTTGAAGTTGATGTTTATTTTATTTAATATTTTCTTACGATAAATAATTGTCGAGTCAATTGAATTTGTATTATTTTATTTTGTTGTCCAAATTTATTTTGAAATATTTATCCATTGGGAATTAAATTTTGTTGAATAAATAATTAATTAATTGAATAAAAAATATGATGAAAAATGACGGAAAGAAATGTAGATATCAATGTCTTTTTTTGCACGGTTGATATTAAGGGGAATGTTTGGAAGGAAGAAAAGAAATAGAAGGAGGATAGAGTAGATGAGTTTGGAAAAATCGATCAGTTAATCGAGAAGGGCAGTTGAGGAGTGATTATCATTATCCAATGAAATTGGCGACTATTGTTGGGAAAAAAGAAGATAAATTGTACTTGTACGTTGTTCTTTTTTTTTCCTTTGTTTCTCCGTACACCATCACCCACTGCATAAAAACTACTGTTAAGGGCATGAATTATTTTCGATATATCTGTCTTTGTTTGTCATTTATTCGACTTTTTTTTTTCATCTGTCTAGATGATAAGAATAAATACTTTTGTACGTTAGTTTATTTTTTCGGTTTATTTACTTTTTTTTTTGAGAAGTACAAAGGAACTTAGAGAAATCAGCAAACATTAGACTGCTTTGTTTTTATTTTTTTTTCTTCCTTGATTTCGTCTTTTAGAGATTAATATGATCGGAAAAATTTATTCATTATTAGTGATTAAAAGTTACTTTATTACACTAGATTATTTTATATTGAAATAATTATTTCAATGTTTTATATTAAAATAATTATTTTAATGTTAATAATTAATTATTATTTTTTTCATGAATTTTTTATAATTAATAAAATTTTCAAATTTATTTTCAATTCAAATAAAAATTGAATTAATCATTAAATAATTGAAGTTCAAATATTTAATAATAATAATAATAATTTTTTTTAAGAATATTCATAATTTTCTTTGAACGTGATTTCTTTAATATCTTGGATGTTAAAAAATTTTCTAAAGAACAATAAAAAATTAGCAACATTAGACTGCTTTGTCTTGAATTTTCTCTTTCTTTCTCGATTTCGTCTTTTAGAGATTAATATGATCAGAAAAATTTATTCATTATTAGTGATTAAAAGTTCCTTTATTACACTAGATTATTTTATATTAAAATAATTATTTCAATGTTAATAATTAATTATTTTTTTTTCATCAATTTTTTATAATGAATAAAATTTTCAAATTTATTTTCAATTCAAATAAAAATTGAAAAAAAAAATTAATCATTAAATAATTAAAGTTCAAAAGATTTAATAATAATAATAATTTTTTAAGAATATTCATAACTTTCTCTGAACGTGATTTTTTTAATATCTCGGATGTTAAAAATTTTCTGAAGAACAATAAAAAATTGGCAAGAAGGTAAAAGGGCTGAGAAAAAGGAAAATGTGTTTGCAAAATATGCGGGTCTGTTGAAAATACATTATAGATAGAGGTCCTTGATGTGTTGTTGCTCCACTTGAATAAATGAATCCCCTTGTGGTCTCCAAGCCGAAACTTCCAAGGGTACATAAAGAGAGAGAAAAGGAAGAGGGTAAAAGTCTTGTCTCATTCTTAGGCCTCATGAAAAAAACGTGCAAAACCCCACCCCTTTTTTGTAGTATTTTTTTTTCTTTGAATTTATGTGTATTTTTCTGGTCTATCGTTTTTTTTTCTTCTTCTTTTTAAAATCAAAAAATCTAACAAAATCGACGTATGAAAACTTGTGTTATATTTCTCTGAATTCTATTACTAGAAATTTTTTCCTTTTTTTACATTTTTATACTTTAGAAAAAGAATAATCTGGTTACAATAGAATCACGAATAATAGCATGAGAAAACGATAAAACCCTTTTCCGTGTCCACCTGGCAAAGGAAATTTAAATTGATATTCAAACATCTGCATAAAAAATGAGATATATGACAGAAATATTCCATTCTATTTCTATATATTTCGATTTTTGATTTTTTGAATTCAATTAAAAATTAAAAAAAATTTTTCATTATTTATTTATTTATTATTTTTAATAATAATTTTATTTATTATAATTCAAATGATGATATCTGAATGAAATATTTATCTAAATAAATCAATTTAATTTATAGGAAAAAGAACAGAAAGTGAAATTTGCAAAAAAGCGAAGAAGGAGTAAAAATGAGAGACAATTGGCAAGTACCAGAAGCCATGGTTCTAACACCAAACCATCGGCCAGAACAGCAGCAGCCCAATGCCGTGGAGGAGAGACATCCCCTCTGCTTTTCAAGCTCATCTGATTGGGGAATCATTGATACGAGCGTAGTGGTAAGCATAATCGCCGCCCTGGCTTCAATGTCCCTCGTATACTATCACCATTCCATCTTTTTTTTTATCCTGTTACCCCACCAATCCGAACGCCAAGTTTTTTTTATTCATCCCTTCTATTCCCTCAAACTTATACTTATCATTCTCAACAATTTTTATTTTTTTTACTATCTATGTACAAATATAGAATGTAAATTTTAATGTTCTGTTACAGAAAGAAGAGCCGGCTGATGATAAAACTAATGATTCTGGGGTATCACCAGATCACTTTAGTGATGCAACATCACCAGACAGTCACAGATCATCAACCAACAATGGTAGCTTGTCTCCAGATAGTGCTGCTTCACATGATTCCAATCCTGGACCATCTATGGCCTATACCCAATATGCTCAACAAGATGCTTCCCAAAACCCTGATGTTCCTATGGATTTTTCAAATGCTACGCTACCAGTTAAAAGTAAAAAAGGACGTAGTTCAAAAGGAGATAAAACAATGGACACTACATCTAGCGAAGGACAAAGCAACAATCAGCTTCCTGAAGCACAAGATACACTTGAATGCCCATTAGACGGCTGCTCCTATAAAACAAATAGCAAGTATGTACTATTTTTTTTTTATTGTAATTCAAGATTTTATTGTTAAACATTTTATCATCAAAATTAAATTTTTCTTTATCATAACAGTCCTAGTAATGATTTATTTTTTATTGTTTTACAGAATTGCGTTCAATGACCACATCATCAATCACTATGTTACAAATACGCCACAATGTTCTGGAAAGCTTCCAAATCCTGCTCGATCTACCACTTCATCTAAAACAGCAAGTCCATATGGTTCTGAAGGCCTTTGGGTATCTCCTTCTCAAGTTGATCTATCACAGTATGCGAAATTTGAATTCAACAGCATTGATGAACCAGGTATCTGTATCCCTCGTATAAATGCTCAAGGAAAAATCAAAATCCTTCGGTGCAAACAATGCACTTATAAATGTTTAACTAAATATGAATTTTGGAATCACCATCGTGATCATATTAAAGCAGAAAAATTACTTCAGTGCCAGATCTGTCCTTTTGTCACTGAATATAAGCATCATCTTGAATATCATATGCGCAATCATACTGGTTCCAAGCCATTTAAATGCGATAAATGCAGTTATGCTTGTGTCAACAAATCAATGTTGAACAGTCATTTAAAATCACACTCAAATATTTATCAATATAGTTGTGCTACTTGCAGTTACATAACTAAGTATCTTCACTCATTAAAACTTCATTTACGAAAAAATGTTCATCTACCCGGCGCAGTACTTAATGCTGATGGAACACCCAATCCATACCCAATCGTTGATATTTATGGAAGTAGACGTGGACCAAGGCAAAGGACTCAAACTTCACAATTGGATGAACCATCGACATCAAGAGGTTTTGAAAATCAAAGTCCAGTTTATGAACAAAATGATTATCAAATTATTACTCCACCTCAAATGTCTCCACTTATGAATCTTCCATCTACAAGTCGAGGGGAAATCAATCCTCTCGTGGCATTACAGTATAGTCAACTGCTTCATGCCAATCCTTCGATGAGAAGTTTCTTTGGAGTCAACAATGAGACTACCGAAGCACAGTTGGAACAAATTCGTCAGGAATTTTGTGCTCAATATGCTAAAGCAATTATACATGAAAAACAGAATGATCACGATGGTTCTTCATCCTCGAACAAGCTTAATTTTAACAACGTATCTGCTACACCGGCTGATGTACCAACAACTATTGCTGTCATCAACGAAAGGCTTAGAATGATGCCTTCTCCTCCAGTGACTCCTGAGACGGTATCTGAAGAAAGAACTACACCATTGGATCTTAGTAAACCTGAAACTTCAAGTAATGACAGTAATGATTCAAATAGTAGTCAAGATCATAATGAAGAGATTCAGGAACAAGAAGTGGTTGATGCACCTACCACTGCTGCAACCACAGGTCCTAGAAAAGCATCTGGAACTAGTCGGCGTAAGGGCAAGGCCGTCAAATTGGTTGTCAGAGATGCTGAACAACAAAGTCAGAGAAATTATTATGATACTTTCTCTCCTCAACCATCCACCAGCTGGGCAGTTCCAGACGAAGTGCCGTCTACTAGCCAACAACAAGAACCAAACACCGAAAGCACCACACCACTTGTAAGTAATGATGAATTCTTTTGTCAATTTTGCGAAATTTCATTTGGTAATGAAGTTATGTATACCGTGCATATGGGTTATCACGGCTATCAAAATCCATTCACTTGCAATATGTGTGGTCATCAATCTGAAGATAAAGTTTCATTCTTCCTTCACATTGCTCGCTCAAAACATACATAATTTGTAAATTTTTTTCATCAATGGTGCCTTGAATAATTGTAAATAATTTACTTATTACATAGAGAGAAAATTCATAAGAATTTGATATATGATAAAATATGGTTGATATTACTAGTCATGTAATGGGTAAACGATTTGAGTATCTTCAGGGTGCAATTTCATAAATAATTTCAGTATTTGACGATATTATAGATAAATTACATGAGTCATTGCTGATTTTTTTCATTTATTTCGTGATTCAATTCGATATAAAAAAAAATATTTTATCGTAATAATTATTATTATGATTATTTTTTGTACATACAATTATTATTTGAATGGATAATATTAATGATTGATTCATTAATTTCCATTAATTTCTATTGATACAATTGAAATTATTTGAAGTACTATTTTTATACAATTAAAATTGAATGATCTTTTTCATAAATAATTTATCGATTCTTTTACCAAATTATTTGCCAAAGAAATAATTTATGATAACTTTACATATTATAAAGCAGTTTCTTTGTTGATTTATGTATATACATTATCCTAGTAGTTTATCATTAATTATTTGGTTCTAATTACATAATCATCATTGATAATTTGCTTTTTTCCCGTAACATTAGGTGGAGGTTTAAATTCTAAAATATAAGTAAACATTATTATTAAAAAAAAACAAAAAAAAATAAATAAAAAAAAAACAAAAAATTTAAAATAATTTAAAGAATATAAAATTACCCATTACTATAGTCTTATTAATATAAGAGATAAATTTATGATGAGAGATAATGATTTAAAAAAGTACATTCCATTATTTAATATCATATAAACTATGACTTAATATAGATTGTTTATACAAAAGATTTAGATATAAAGAACAATATATATATATATATATATATTTTAATATCATTGATGAATTAATTACAAATACATTAGTACTAAATAATATAATATTTTTCCAGCTAATAATCACACGTAAATTAAAAATATTATTTATCATATTTTGTACATCTAAATCGATGAACAATGATTTTGTATATTAAGTGAAATTGAGTGTATTGGGCTGATAATTGAAATAATTTTCTGAAATAATGTATTTAAGATTGTATGATAATCTTTCAGTAATGAGAATAAAATTTGCAGCAAGTCCAATACTTCATTTTGCTAAAAAAAAAAACGTTTATATATTATTATTATTATTATTATTCAATATTTAATCGAAATATGAATAAAACATTTTGATAATGAACTCTATTTTTCGAGTGACTATAAATCTCATATTAAGAGTGAAAACGTATCATGAAATAACTTTTTTATAACATCAACACCATTGAGCCTTAAACAATTTTTCAAACAAAATTTGCAATACCGACTTTTCAAAAGGATGATTGATATTGATCATCCAGCAATTTTTTTTTTTATTCTTGAATGGAAGTTTATTAATTCAAGAGAATATTTACTTTTTTGTATAAGTTAGTGAACATGTAAATAATTTTTTTTCATTTTTAGTTAAGTCTTCATTGAAAATAAGGAATTACTTATCTTTTTGGATAGGTTAATTAATGTGTAAATAATTACTCTTTACTTATAGATGTAAGTTTATTTATACGAGAAAATAATTACATTTATTGTGTAATTTAATCAATGTGTAAATAATTTTTTTTCTTTGCATTTTTAGTTATTATTATTATTGATAGTTATTATTTAAGTAATACGTTTTCATGAACTCGAAGAAATAATTACTTTTTTTTAATTACTCGAAAAATGTATGAATGAATTTTTCCTTATTATAGAAGCCAATGGTAAAGAAAAGTCGGTATTAATTGATTATGATTCTGTAACTTCCATTAATTTCAGTAAACTATTTTGTGTCCGGAACTTTGTTAATAACTGTATAAACAAAGTTGTAATAAAATAAAAAAAGAAAAAAAAATTCTCTGTTTCTATGTTTAATTTTTAGTTGTAAGTAATATGAAAATTTTTCCTTTCCAATATTTACATCCTTAATTTTTTCCTTCATTATATCCACATATGCATCACAAAAAAATAGACGCCATAGATATATAGATTAAGAAAAATAAATTTAATAATTAACTTACTTAAAATTATTAATTATAAACTTCAACATAAATTAGCAGATTATAATCTGTACTTAGAATTCAAATAATATTAGATAGTAATAAATAGTATGTGCAAAAATTAAATGTACGAAGTCGACATTAAGATTAATTCGGAGACTAAGGAATGATTAAGAATTCAATGTAATGTAGGGTTATTATTTTATAATAATTATTTATCCGTTAGTTAGACCTTTATTCACAATCTCCATGAATAACCAACACATACTTTAGTCTTTTTAATTTTTTAGATCTATCGAAAAAAAGAGCAAACTGAATTTCACCACTAGCGCCATTTTTGTACGTTCCTTCTAATCCTACTGTCGATAATGTAGTTTTCGTAAGGTAAGTGAAATACCATGATAAAAACAATTCAAACATCAGCATTACGACATTGACTTTACGCCCTCGCGTTGTGCGGTGAAAGGTCGAAGCTCAATGTCAACTGAAGTTTAGTAGGTAACAGGGAGATCGTTCGGAAAATGATAATTTTCGAAGATGTGCTAAAAAAAGGAAGTCTTAGGGCATTAAAAAATTTCCAAATTTCCAAATCATCAACTCCAAGCAAGACAGAGTACAGAATATATATCTATCCATCGCCGTTTTCGTTATTAGAGAAAAGATTGCGAGTTCAAGAAATTGGCAAGAAAGCACAATCCCTATCTTCCGCACTTATAAATCAGGCGAAAAATACAAGAATTTTTGATTTCAAGCTATTTTTAGAGCCAATAAATTAATTTTTTAGATTTTGAATGAGATACTAAATTTCTCGGCATGAAGACGAAGAAAACGAGTAGTCAAACATCGAAATCAGTCACTGAGATCACAAGATATTTACAAAAAAAAGCAATACCTAATAGGAATAATCATAACTTCTATGCTAATGATGTTACGGGGTTGATCGAGGGCTCATATGAAAGATTAGGACCTAAGTAAAAAAATCGATCCCCCCTATAGGATATCCCCGTCAAAAATGCCGTATCTCGCTTAGTTTCCGAGTTATGAGCGTTTGAAGGTTTTCTTATGTTTTGCTTCAGCATAACTTTGATTTCTGCTAATAACTCATGATCTATGAGACTTACATAGACAATGAGCATATCAATAGATTCGTGAGAGTGAGAGCTTTCGATTGCATCCCTCAAAATTATGATTCGAGCATAATTTATGCTTAAAATCGAGTCGGTATAAATTTTGTTCTATTTTAGGGGTAAGGAAATAGATTTCAAAGATTTCTGATATGACACCACATTTTTTAGCGCTGAAAAAAAAAAATAGGTGTTTCAACTAAAAAATCAACTCCAAAAAATGCAATATAATATCAGAAATCTTCGAAATCCATTTCCTCACCCCTAAAGTAGAACAAAATTAAAACGAGCTCGAATTTTAGCATAAATTATGCTCGGATCATAATTTTGAGGGGTGCAATCAAAAGCTCTCACTCTCACGAATCTATTGATATGCTCACTGTCTATGTACGTCCCATAAATCATGAGTTATTGGCACAAATCAAAGTTATGCTGAAGCAAAACATAAGAAAATCTTTAAACGCTCATAACTCGAAAACTATGCGAGATACGGCATTTTTGACGGGGATATCCTATAGGGGGGATCGATTTTTTTACTCAGGTCCTGATCTCTCATATGCGCCCTCGATCATCCCCGTAGCATCATTAGCATAGAAGTTGAGCATATACCTTCAGAGCTTGGTCTTTCTTGATCTCTTTTCAAAGTACTTCATGATTGCTCAAAATCGAATGAAATTAAAACGAGCTCCAATTTTAGCATAGATTATGCTCGGATCATAATTTTGAGGAGTGCAATCGAAAGCTCTCACTCTCACGAATCTGTTGATATGCTCATTGTCTATGTAAGTCTCATAGATCATGAGTTATAAGCAGAAATCAAAGTTATGCTGAAGCAAAACATAAGAAAACCTTTAAACGCTCATAACTCGGAAACTAAGCGAGATACGGCATTTTTGACGGGGATATCCTATAGGGGGGATCGAATTTTTTACTTAGGTCCCGATCTATCATATGAGCCCTCGATTAACCCCGTAGCATTATTTGCATAGAAGTTATGCATATTTTCATGTTTTACAGTTTTCCACGAATATCTCATGATTTCTTCAACCAATCAAAGTCAAGAGGCACTGTTTTGGAATCGTCTCATCAAGATCTTCCTAACGACATCCATAATTTTATGATCCAAGCATAAATATGATTACTTGCCATTTTTCAAAGTTGGAAAGAAAATTCCTCCGATCTCAATGATCGAAGGTTTATTTTCTACGTTTTGATGCTTGGAAATGCGGTATTTCGTCACTGCGTCACTACGAAATAGTACATTTCACACCTAGGGAGGGAAAGTAGTCTAGCTCAAACCACGTGTAAAATTACAACCCGAGCCGAAGGCGAGGGTAGTAAACACGTGGTTTAAGCTAGTCTAATGGTCTTCTCTAGGGCGGGTATGACGAAAATTCATTTTCGTTATACCCGCACGGAAAGTTCACTTTTCCATTGGAGAGGGGTTGAACTTTCCATGCAGGTATGACGAAATAGTACATTTCACACCCTTAAGAATCGGCAAGACTTTGAGCCTTAATAACTCCAAAACGGTTAGTCCAAAAAAGCTTTTTAAGGTCGTATTAGATGCCTCAGAATCTAAACTAAACATACAATTTGATAAAAAACGTAAAAAAAATTTACATCACCCTCAAAATCGCAAAAATAGCAAAAAAGTTACACTTTTTAAGGGAGTTTCCTAAGTATTTTGACAATTTTAAGGGTGAAGGAAATTTTTAAAACATTTTTTATGAATACGTATCTTTAGCTAAGATTCTGAAGTTTTCAAATACCTCTCAAAAATCATAATCGGATAATTTCTTAACGAGTTATAAAGGTCAAAAGTGAGAGTAAGGGTCGAAAAATCATCCATCCTTCGACTTTGAGCATCTATAACTCGTAAAAAAATAGTTCGATTATGATTTTTGAGAGGTATTTGAAAACTTCAGAATCTTAGCTAAAAAGACATATTCATAAAAAATGTCTAAAAACCTCCTTTCACCCTTAAAATTGTCAAAATACTTAGGAAACTCCCTGAAAATGTGCGACTTTTTGTCTATTTTTGCAATTTTAAAGGTGAAAAAAATTTTTTAAACATTTTTTATGGACATGTATGTTTAGTTAAGATTCTGACATTTTTAAATACTCCTTAAAAATCATTGTCAGACCATTTTTGTACGAGTTACAGAGGTCAGAAGCTAGAAAAATCGTGAAATAATTGTCCATCTTCCAACTTTGAGCCTCTGTAACTCAAGTGAGATCAAAATTTTCAAGTACAAACATGAATTGACGGAAAAACTAGAAAACTACGATCCTATATATTTCGATAGAAGGAATCAGACACCTTATTGACTAGAGCCCAGCTTCAGAGAAGAATTGATCTTTCGGACGTTGAATTAAAAAATTCGAAAATATAATAAATGCTGAAGTTATTAAATAAAAAATCTCCAACCCAGTTGTTTGTTCTATTTTTAATTAATTAAGTAAATTTTTTTTCCAAAAATATGCTTATTTTCGAAAATCAGATTGTTTGGTCAGATTTCTTTCTACGATAGTTGACTATTTAACATAGAAAGAAAGTAGTTTGAATTTTATTTTCTCGATGCTAAAGGAAATCTCTAAGACCTGATTTCACTTCCATACTTCTTTATGTCATCATAAAACTGTCTAGTATCTTCGAAAATTCATTATTATCTTTATTTATTTATAATACAACTATTGGCATACATGGGAAAAAAAACATCACTCAACATCGTGCCATATACACAATAATCTCTTGATTAAAAAATAATTTTTATAAAAATGAATTTAAACAGAAATGATTTTTGTGAGCAGAGCTTTTAGTTTTTAATGTCGATTTCCCCCATTAATTTATAAAGAAAAAACATAACATAATTAATTAAATATATTAAATATAGATCAAAAAAATCTTTAAAATATCGGATCAAGGATTCAGGTTAATTAAGTAAGACTTGAATCATGAAAATATTAGATTGACAATGTTTTATAATTTTCATTTTAATTAATTTAATTAATTAAGCATAAAATATAGTATTAATTTACTTGGTTATAATTGCACTTAGATGTAAAAATAAAAAAAGTTGATAGTACAATTTATAGATATTTTATTATAGACAGCGAAGCTTTCGATTATTTAACTAAAAATACATCGCACTGACACGACGCACTTAATAAAAAAATACAATTCAATATTCACTTTCATTGTATGTGCATTAACCAGACCAATACTCAAGTATCTGTGAATTTTATTCATCATCAGATCGATTTATTCTGATCATGTACATCCATGGTTATATATTATATATATTTTTCTTTCATTATCATCGTCTATAACACAATTACGTCTATTAATTTTATGTACATGATCACTGTAAATTTAGTTTTATTTATTTATTTATTATTTAATACCGAATACATCAAAAAATCTCACTTTTCAAACTTCGATTGATTCTGAGATATTAAATTTAATAACAATTATTAATTTTTTTAAACCAATTATTACAAAACAATCCTGTTACATTATTTGAGCAAATTGTTGTACAATAATATCGCAAATATTTGCAACAATAATAAATATTTCAAAAGTTTTACAATTATTAAATCATTTTATTTTATTACTAAAATTTTGTCATTTTTTAGTTCATTAATACTCGAGTTTTCGATACATAAAATAGTATCCTCAGTTCGAAGCATAAGAAGAATTTAAACTACTATGTTGACGTATCCGGCTGTAATCCAGCATTTAGAAAAATAATTAACTGATATTCAGTAAGTCTATATTGAGACTTATTTATTCAATACTCATTTAATAATTACGTGCTTAAATACGTAAATATAGACAGATATAAAATATACAGTATTCTAATTAGGATCATAAAAGATCTTTAAGTAAATAAATTGCTGGTGGGTTGATTTAATTCTCATTTCATATATTTAAATGATCTCTTATTTAAGTTTACTTTTTTCCTTTAGAGTATTTTATTTTATTATTTCAATTTTCAATATCATTATCAATACGACTACTGCGTATTCCAGTTTTACCCGTCCAAGGATAAATGTCCGGGCAAGCTTGGCACGTCTTCATATATCTTACACCACTTTTGTGCCAAAGATTGCAAACCTTTGCATTATTACATTTTTTCGGTCTATCCTGTAGATTAAAAATAAATTGTTATCAATTTTAATTTAATTAAAATCACTTAATTATTTTTTTTTTTCCATTACTGTAAGTATTTATTTACCTGATAATTGCAGCCAAATGGCTCAAATGTATCTAACAAAGCTAATGGTGTTGGATTTCTAACCCATTGGATTGCTTGCCAATTGGTTACAATCCAAACATCGTCCATGGCAGCAATAGTATCCAAGAAGGAAATAAATCCTTCTTTATGATGAGCTTGGGTGAACCATGCAGCATGATAAAATAGACCGAATGGTGCCCTGTAATAAATTAAACTTTAGTTATACTTATCTTATAATTTAGTTATCATTTAAATTCAAATGTGCTTTACCTGTTGGTAGTGTAATGCCTTTCAAAGTTTTTAATGAGCATCTTATAAACACCATCAGCAGTTGGTGGATTACTGCATGCATCACCCATAGAGCATCGTCCACCATTAAGATCTTGCCACATCACCATAGGAACTTCCCAAAGTCCAGGATAAGATCGAGTTGGACAAGGAGGAATCATACAGTCATGGAATAACTTATAATCTAAAGTGTATGGCCAACTTGGTGGTCGATTTTCATAAATTGGCATCGAAGAATCATATGTGAAGTTTGTTTCCCACAACATTTTGAACATATTATTACCTCCAACCTATTAAAAAAACAATTAAATATTAATGATTACTCTTTTTAACACAAATAATATCAATTCCTTCTTGAATTAATGGAATATTTAATTAATTACAGATTTAAATAAATCATCAATGAAATAGAGAAAAAAAAATAATGATCAAATCAATGAGTGTAACATGAAGTAACTTACAGATAAGAAAGGAGCTCTCATTCCTCTAACATCTTCTAACTTGACACCGCCATAAGCAGCAAGAATTTCTCGTTGACCAGCAACTTCCCTGGCCCACTTTTTAGCCGAGAACTGTTCACCAAAGCTATGTCTATAGATTTTATAAATCATTATTAAAAGTTCTTTTCTTTCATATAACTAGACAATATAATTATATTTTTGGAGTACGAGGCTATTTGATTCAAAAAAAAAAAAAAAGATTGATTGAAAAGAAAAATCATCAGACAATAGAATAATATAATAGTTTGAAAGAACACAACATTTGAAGATAATGTATTTTTATTAGTACCAAAAGTTAATAACTTATTAGTAATATGTGATAAGAAAGTTGAACATATAAAATAAAAGAAATGACCCGAGTCATAAGAATGAAATATTTGTAAAAAAAAAAAAATAATTGAAAATGGATGGTAAATTAATAAATGATTAAATGAGGATGGAAAGAGTACTTACGACACCGTGTGAGAAGCAATCTCATGACCAGCAGCATAAAGATTTTGTACTTGGCTGTAGTCAGTCCATTCATGTGATACGTAGAAGGTCGCGGAGATAGGACAGCCGTTAGGGTTTTTTCGTCCTTTCTCAAAGAGATCAGCGTAAAGGCCTTTGTTGAGATCATTTACAGAATCGTCAAATGTCAGCAAGACGATTTGGGGTATTTCCTCAGGCAAATAGTCTCCTGTTAGAGGACAAGGAAAGGATACGTGTGATAGATAGGTATTGTGTGTTGAAGGTGATAGAGAAAAGATAATAAACTCGTTAGTAATTAGATTAAATTAATTGGTAATAATAAATAAAATGTTAAAATAATTATTAGATAGAAAAAGACCCATTGTGATAATAAATATTAATAATTGTTGGTAATAGAATCTCAAAGCCTCGAAACTCTCGCATTTCTTTGCGACTTACGAGACTGTATGAGAGGCAAGCTCATGTCCATCAGCATAAAGGTTTTGAACTTGACAATAATCTGTCCACTCATGCGACACATAAAATGTCGCTGAGATTGGACACCCATTTGGATTTTTTCGTCCTCGTTCGAATAAATCTTCATAAAGTTGTTTATTAAGATCATTTACAGCATCGTCGAATGTTAAAAGTACTATTTGTGGTGTTTGTTCTACCGGTATTCCACCTGAATATATTGTCATTTTTATAGAAATAGATTTTACTTTTGATAAATAATAAATTAAAAGAATATCAAAATTAACAATGAAATATATCAAGATTTAATTCCTCTACGAAATTATAAATAAAAAATTCAAAAACAATTCTTGAATATTAATAATAATTGTCTTTTTGAATTTGGGTAAGCTGGAAATAGTTAATTATTAACCAAGGGAGCAAAGTATGATATTCTGACCCGGTTAAAAAATTGCAAATATCCAGGTAAGGTTATTTTACTTTGCTTCTATGGCCAATATATTATTTTTAATCACATCTCCGTCCAAAATTAAAGTTTGTCTATTTTGAGGTTGGAAAAGTGACGTTATCTCTCTCGCAGAAAATAAGATATACCCGTCTGCGCATGCGCACACGCAATTTTTTTTTATGCAGACGAGCAAACTTTAACTTTGAACGGAAGTATGAGAAAAAATGAACATTACCAACTATTGAAGAGAATGAGATAATAAAAAAGTAAATATAGAGTAAAATTAAAGCTATTGAAATAATTTAATTGAATTTAATACGCTTGAGAATGTTCACAGGCGCGTGCGATGAACATTAACGTGAATATTCAGTATATTCGTACTTATTATACAAGGATCTATTTCACTTTCAAGTATACGTTGAGTACAATGCGTACATGTATAACATTAGAATTGGTGAAAGTATTCCGAGCATTCGAATGAGACATTGACATCCTATACAATTGACAATCAGAGACAGTTCATCACTTGCTATTTTTGGAGTATCTTTTGTACTATTTAATGAAAGTCGTACTTGTTAGTCATCACATTAATGTCATGAATAATTAACCAAAAAAAAAGATCAATCAATAATTAACTGTATTACAAGCAAAATATGTTTAAATGTTTTCTAATTGATGATTACAACATTAATTTTATTCATCTAACGAAACACATTGCTTGTTTTGTAATGTAAGGATAATATATATTAATCAGTCTATTAATACTCTCATGTATATCTTTATGTTAATGACAAAAAATACTCAAATAATAGATAATTTTTAAAAATAAAATCTATTTTATGTCAATTCGAATAAAAATAATCTCATGATAGACATATAACATTTTTTTTTTTCACGTTGAAATTTAGAAAAAAAAACTTGTCTGCTTATCGTTACTTAATTTTTTAAAGCCAATTAAAATTCAATAGAATAGAAGTTAGTATAGCTAATTATGATGTAATACTTTTACGAAAAAAAAAGTATTAACATATTTACTTTCACGAAAATTATTAAATAATTTTTTTGAGTGACTTAAAATTTTTTTTCGTATCGATATTACATAATTGTCATTCTTTACAATTCCTGTTGGATGTTTTTATAAAAAGCTACTTTCATTTAAATAAAATTAAATCATTATGTCGTCTAATCATCACCTGTAAATCAAATAAAAATAAAGGCTTTAATTAAACACATCTTACCTGGTATATCAGCTCCTCCACAACTACAATCCGGAAGCAGACAAACATCTTTACGACATTTAGCTGCAGGCTTATCGACTTGAGGAGTTGGATAAATAGGTTCAGGTCTTGATGGTGGATACCTGTAGATGTCAATGTACTCTTGGGCTTTAGCTACAACTTCAGTGGATGGTTTCAACGTTGGTCGTAATCGTCTAATAAAAAAATAAAAAAATTATTATATAAAAAATTGTATTCATATTCTCTAGAGATTATTTAACAGTGATAAATATTAAAAAATAAATCAATATATGTGTAATTAAACTTACGGTGGTGCTGTTCCTCGATTAATGTGTGGTCTACCTCGACTTGAAAAAAAAATTTAAAATTAAAACTTACGACTTCCGACTAAGAACGAAAGCGTATTCGTATACTTATTAGGGTGAAAGTGAATAAAAGAGAGCAAACTTTGATTTCGTTATAGTCAGCAAGTAGTTGCGTGTATATCTATAAAATTAGGTCTTGGTCGTGGTGAATAAGAGAGAATAATTTCAAAATTAAATTAATATATTATTACTATTATTATTGTTAAAACCTACGAGTTTGTTTATTATTTATAATACACAGAAAAAAAATTCTGCATATTTTTATTGCAATCAGCTAAGGTTTATTTTGTTAATTTTTTCTAATGAATATTTGAATAATAATCAAGGACAAATAATTGTTAGTTGTGATTTGATTTTACAACAATAGTGGAGCATCTAGAAATTAATGAGGATCATATTACGCACCTTGGAACAGTTACAGAATAAGGACGAGCGGTAGTAGTTGGTGGTAACGGTGTTGTAGTGGTAAGTGGTACATAAGCATCAACAATGGCATTTGGTGTTGTCACATGAACCACTGGATGACTAAGTCCATTTGTTCTGTATAATCATCAAGTCAACCAATTATTTACATGCATGATTATTACTTCTGTAGCATAGATTTTTTTTTTAAATAACTCGCTTTTAGGTAAGTCATGTCCAACTAATGTCAAGTCATGTAACTACTTGTTACTCTCTAAAATTGAATTAGTAAACATTTCACTGATTCAACCTGTTAGCTATAATTTTACTGGAAAATTAATTATTTCGAGCCCGTTTACTAATTAAATTAATAAAAATCTTGATAAGGATGTAAATATGATTAAAAAATTTTAATATTTTTAAATTAAATAAATAAGAATGAATGAATTCAATCTCTAATCATCTATATCTTCTTATTCACTAGTCCGATTAATAGAATTTACTGGTTCGATGGGTATTAATTGACTAATTTAACTAGTAAAGTATTATTTAACAGGTTCAATCAGTGAAATTTTACTATTTCCCATTGCGTCACTGAGCAATGGTACAAATAGTAAATACTCACTTGGAATTAGTAAAGTAATTTCTTTTTAGAGAGTAATCATGTATTTATTACCTGTAGGTTTGTGGATTATCGTTGATATGGAACTTATTCTTATTTAGATGGCCCTAAAAAAAATAAGATTAATTAACATATAAATACATTTACATGATTTAGTAACAATAATAATAATAATAATTTTCGTTAGCTCACTTGAGTATCATAAATATCATAATCAGAGGCAGTTACTTCTGAATTGTAATTATATTTATCAGCATCATTGACAGGAACTTTTTTAGTTTTTTGTGTGTATGTTGGTTTTGAATTAGGTGTTACTTCAGCAATTCGTACATTTTGTTGTTGAGGAGGCGGAAGTGGGATTGATTGATTAATAGTATATTGTGCATAATCTGTGAAAATAATTATCATTGTAATATTTAAATAAGCTTTCGTCTTACTTAATTTATTTTTTTTTCTGTCTTTTATGTTGTGCTAATAAATTATATACAAACATTGCATGTATAATAAATACGTGACTGTAATGATGAATAAATTGAGCTACAAACCATCGTCTTTATAGATGGACACGTCATCGTCATAAAGATAATAAGGATAACTGTCGTGATCGTAATAAGATTTAGAAATGACAGGAGCTGGTGTAGTTGTTTTAACAATACGTTGATTTTCAGATTGAATTGATCTGCAAAAAAAAGATACAATAATTTATAATACAATTTATTTATTTTTACACATACATTTGCAATACTTAGATCAAAAAATAAAAATATTTTACCTGTATTGATTGTCAGTTTGGGTCCGACCAGTGTTCACTAAAGTTTCTTTTTCCCTCTCCTGTAAATAAAGCAAATAACACATATTCAATTATGGCATTTAATTGATGATATAAGCCATGAAGTAAGTCCTTCATGGCTGAAGAAAAAGATTAGCTTGTATGGAAAGAATGAAAGATAATGGAAGTGAAGTGACGCGATAAATACATTAGATCAGAAAATTTTTAATCTTTTTTTCATGACTTCTTAAATGGAGTAAACCGTCACGCACGTATCCACGCGATTTCACGGGTTGTTTGTTGTTTTTCGATTTAGTTATGGCCACTTGAAGACTATAAGTACAATAATGTAATGTAAACAATCACATATTTGATTCCTCAATTCGATAAATATTGTAAATAATAATTATTATTATTTATTATTTTCTAGATACTGGAGAGAAGTTTTGATATCGAGGAAACACGAGACATTTGCCAGACGAGTTTGTTTCGGTGTGACACAATCAATTACGTCGGCAATTATTCACAGTTTATTTTGAGATTAATTATATTTGCCAAGAGTATCTTGATGCCGATGTTTAGAAGGTTTTCAGAAGTTGATAGAAGAAGTCAGAGCCGATGAAGGAACGTTGGACTTGACTTACGAGTGAAGAAGTTTTCCTGGGTCCATTGTGTTGACGTTGACGCGAGACAGGAGTATCTGTGCTTACATCTTTTTTTTCAGGTCGGCTTCCTTCTTGATTTAACGATGATTGAAGTGTGCTCGATGTCACAATTTCATTCTTCTCAACGTCTTCACGTACCATGCTTGATGATGTTATTGATGTCGGTGTAGATTTACGAAAAGGTGTTGGTGAAGTCAATAACTCTAGTTTAGTTACATAACTTTTCACACTTTGACTCAATTTACTGACAGTATTATTAATGTTATTCTTTTTCGATTCCAATTTACCAAACTTTTTAGTATTTAATGATGTGATTTCATTGCCCTCAATGTCATCTTGATCTCGTTGTAGCTGATTGATAATTAATGCTCTCTGAAGTGGATTAAGAGTTGTAGGAATAATATTATCAAACTGATTAATTATTTCTGATGTCTTTTGAGGTGAAATAATATTCTTGCGTTGCTCTGGTGAAGTAGTTGAAGGAGTTAGAGGTGTTGTAGAACGAATAAGTGGAATAGTCACATCATTTTTGAAAGAATCCTTTCCATCCTGATCACGATCAATTACTGGTCTCTTGCGTATGACCTTCATAGTAACATAATTAAAACCATGGTACCTTTCTCTTCCTCTTTGAGCAATTCTCGCCTTGATTCGTTGTTTAATGGTCGTTGGAAGTGTGGCGTAATTTCCTCTTTCATTAGAAGACTCATCATCAAACTCATCAAGTGGACGCTTTCTTGGTATTGGAGAACTTGCTGATATTTCATTGAGCTCTGGCTCATCAAATATAGATGATGAAGTTGATGGTATTTGATTCGTTTGTGGTAGTATACTTGATACTGGTGAATTGACAATAGTACTTGGATTCCTGTTAACCTGTAACTCTTGATTATTCTGAATAGAATAGACAGTTGTTGTAACTAATGATGATGTAATTGGGTCATCATCCTTGGGAGGCAGTTTGAAGGGTGAAGGCGAGCTGACAATAACATAGTTGCGTTTTGTTGCTTCATGAATCGCATAATCTTTTTTATCATTCACTTGACTGATATTCAATCCCGATGATGTAGTTGTCGTTGTCGTCACTGTTGTTGTAGTCATCTGACTCGTGGCTGTCTCGTGTCCCGCATTATCGTCCCCGTAGGATGGTGGAGTTGTGATGGAAGCAGGGTGAGACGGATTCGTTGAACTTACTGAAATGATATTCCTCCTGAGGCCATCTCGATCTCGTTGCACTTGACCAATTGTTGAAGGCTGTCCACGATATACTCGTTGCTGACGATCACTCTCGATCTCTGACGCTGGCTCGTATTCATCGTCAGTATAGGTTCGTTGTGATGTTTGTTGTCGATGACGCGAATGACGATCTGTTATTTGAGAAATAGGTGGTGATGGTGATGTTACTTGAACCTGTGTTCGTTGGACAGGTTGACGTTGGTGTGCTTGACGTTGTTGAGACTCTGCTTTAGCAGCCCTGAATAAGATTATTATCAATACTCATGTTATAATATTTTATAAATAAAAAAATGAAACATTTATACACTTATTGACATGGATAATAATTATTTCTTGTAAAAAATACCTTTTTCCCAAGTATTTAAATCAGTGTTAAAAAATATTTTTTTTTTATAATTAGATTTTGTGTATTATTAATTATTATAAAATTGACTCAATTATTATAATTAATTATAATAATATTTAAATAATCTTTTGTTCATTATTTAAAATTAAGGAAAAAATAAATGATCTGTTGACAACCTATACTACACCTTAATCAATTCAAGTCTACTTATTTCTCTGAACCCTTAAGTAATCAATCATTATTTAATAACGTTTTAAACTTTAATGAAAAATGTATTATGAGAAACTACTTACTATATATTTCTTCACGTGAGAGCTATAATAAATTTTTACTGAGAAAATTACTCAATAAATGTTTACTCTTGTAATATTATTTTTTCATTTAAAGGAAAGTCATATATACTTGTAAATAAAAATAATGAACCAATTTATTTTTACCTTTCCAATAAAGGATCTTCGTCTTCGACATCCTGCACAGAAGGTCCACTAGATGTACAACCGACATTACGTGGCCAGTCACATGTCTGCAATTCATGACTGAAAAAAAAAAAAAAATAAAAGAATAGAATTATGAAAAAAAAATGGACATTATAATTGACATGTAAAAATAATCTAGATGCGTGTCATGATGCCGGAATTGAGAAATGGATGAAATATTCGAGTTTAAATCTCGTTCCGCATGCCTTGGGGCACTGCTCAATCGATCACCACTCGACCTTGCTTTCTTTGACTTTCGGATTCCTTCATGCTATACAACAAGAGATTTTGCAATATCTTGCGTGGGATCTAGAGCACACAATCGATACTAATAAATAAAAAAACTACGGTTTTTTTCCCCGCCTTTGTTAAACTGGTTTGATATGTTGATTTCATTTGAATGTTTTTATCTTTATTAATTAATTTGAATAAAAATTTCGAGTAAATCATTAAAAGTTTGCTCATCAGAATTAGAAAAGTTGCTTCATGAATAAACATATGTCTTAAGGCCAATTAGTTGATGTGATAAGGGAAAAGAAATTTGAACGCTGCATGAATACTTATTTGGTAATGCACGATTTGCTTGAGGGATAACGTTGTTTGATTATCCTTAATTGGATTATATTATCCAATGCAAAATGTTTATAACTTAACCGCTAAAGTGTCATACTCTAGAGTACACACGTGTTTAGAGATACATGTGCATTCTCCATCAATAAAGGACTATAACATTGTTCAATATACATCGTGACTTGACTCTCCTGTGACCTGGGTGTGGCAATTACTTTTTATTCCAGAAGTAAATACGTATAATAACTGAAATATACTTTTACTGTTCAGAGTGCGTGAGACTTTTAAAATATTTTGATGTAGCTGATAAGTATTTTATTCTTGTTGATAATAAAAATGAAAAATAATGTTTTTTATCCAAGAGTATGATTTCTGTTAGTACCTAAAAAGTAGAAAATACATTTTTATTGTGCTCAATTATTTTAAATATAATCATGAGTGTTGATCATTATTTTTTTAAGATCCACGGTGTCTCAGGAAGTAAGAATTTATCTAATTTCACTTGTATTTAAACTTATCATCATTTTTTACTCAATATCAAAATTTCGTTAACCCTTTGTAGCCTAGGATCTTCAAAAATAAATGATGTTGATAAGGAAATAAGTTTAGGCTTATAGAAAAACATGTAATTCTCAAAATGTAACAATATTTAAATTATTGAACATTAATAATTATTAATTAATTATTGTTACTATACTACTGATACTATTAGATTATTTTTACTGTTATCAATTATTATTATTTCTCGCTATTATTGTTAATAATTGTTGTTATTATTTTTATTGTTCATTATTGTGCTTTTTTTTGTTGTTTTTTACTATTGTTGTCAAGTATTGTTTGCTAATTATTGTTGTATTAATTATTATATTATTATTGTTATAAAATTATCATTTATTTGTTACAAAACTTTCAGATAAAGCCACAATGAATGAAATTTAATAAAATATTCTATTGCAAATGTTTTGAATTCTTTTTACCGATTAAATCAACATTTTTTTGTATAGCAAAAATTTTTTCTCATTGTAAAAAAAAAACATCATTTCACATGAATGTAAATTTGCAATATTCTCATTACTCTTTAATACATTAGCCTCTAGTATTATATCTCTCACGACTGTGCACCGAACTCACCTAAACAATACTTGAGAAACCGATGCTTAATCCGAACAGTAACAGAATATTTTATGAGAGTTATGCAGTACCTTAAATATAAAACTCTAACTCTAGTATTCTAAGCTTGTTTAATTTCACTTTCATTCGTTATCAAAGTTATTTATTGATACATTATGATATTAATCTCAGAAAAAGGAAATAGTTTCTACTGATTCATAACATTTTTCTTAGTCAACATTCATTAATAATACAAGAAAAATATTAAAATACAAACCTGTACATAAGTCCTCCAGTACATGACTCAAGAAGAGCCCCACCGAAAACGCACACATAATATTGAGTGCAATCTTTAGGATGAGGATAATAACCAAATTCATCAGGACATTCAAACTCTAGAACTGCATCATGTCTACTGGCTCTTGGACTCCTTGGAGTATTTCTTTGACATTCTGTAACAAGAAAAAAAAAATTAATTCCGTGTTATACAATAACTTTGATGATAACATGAACAATAATGACGAAATGAAAATATTTATGACTGAATGATTGAAACGGAGATGAAATAAAATGAAAAATGTGTGCACTCATTCGTGACGACTTTTGTCTGACCCAAGTGGTCTCGTTTCCCTGCATCTTAATTTCTCTCAGCTCTACAGTTATGAATATCGTAACCTATATCTTACTGGGCGGTCTTTCACGATTTTTTCTTCTATTTCTCTTTACATGAGTATCTAACATGCAATTCCTTGAGGGCATTAACATTGCTTATATCTTGAGAACAGCAAAATTTAAATTGTCCATTTCCGCAATCATTCTTTTACAGACTTTTATCATAATATCGATGCTCCTGATTCTGTTTTTAACTCATTAACTTCAAGTGTTTTACTTCCGGATTAATTTTAATCTAATTTCATGATGTCGAAAATATTCTGAATAAATTTAAAAGTTTGATCTTTTTTTCTACACCTGCTTCACGCAATAAGAGAAAGAAACCAAAGGAAAAAAACAAGCTTCAGAAGCTTATGAGAAATCGAACGGTATTCAATGTTGCGTCACTATATTGAAATCATATAATATTTACACTTTTCTACAACTGTTTTCTATATAATTCCATGTAATGATCAAGTGACATGCTATGAAATTTCATCTAAAATAGATAAATGACTTTACAATCACTAAATTTAATTATTTATATCATCATTTTGATAGACTATTTTTCATATCATTATTATTAATATATAATAATAAAAATTAAATAATTATTCAATTTTTAATTTTACATTAACAAGTTACTGTAATAGAGTCAATCTTTAAAATTCATAATTCTGTCATTTCTTTACGTTTTGAGACATTTAAAAGCAAATTAGAAAGCTTTAAAAAAATTTACGCACGTACAGACAATTGTACGTACGTATATTTTTAAAAACTGAGGTCAATATCAAAGCAAATAAATAAATAATTAAAAATTGTTTTAATTTATTGAATTATCACTACTATGATTATCAATAAAATATTGTTATAAATAAATTTATGTGATTAAACAATTATTGATTGTTAATAATAATGGTAATTTGTTATAAACAAATCAAACTAAAAGATGACAAAATGACAGATTGTAATTAATGGACATGGCCCAGGCTTATTTTTATTGAAAGTTTGAAAGAAAAATATAATCAACATGAACGAATATATTTATGCAATTATTCTTTTACTTAGACGACAACAAATCGGTATGAGTTCATATCGATTTTCTGTATTCAAATGTATTTAAATCTATACAAGTATATAAATATTTTATTATGTAGAATTTAGTGTTACATAATGCACAAAGAAAAGTAACAGGACTTTTGGTCGACCTTGTCGAATACATAAATGCAATAAACACCTTGTGCATATTATATTTTTATCAAAAATATTTGTAATAATAAATATAATTTAATTGATTTGATAATAAAAATTTTCTCTATGAAATGTGCCAGAGTATTCTGTGTCGCGAAAATGAGGATAAAACTCACAAGGTCAGTAGGACATATACCATGATAATACTTTAAAAAGTTTGTAACATGTTTTTATATCTTTCCTTCATTATTTTATATACAAAAATATAAAGATAAATAGTTCATAATCTTAACTATGTGGAAAATTGGTAATAAACTAGAGATTGTAAAAGAAAATTGACTCTCATAAAGAGGTAAAATTCTAGTTACTTATTCAGCACTCAAGTCAATAAATCACATTACTATTTAACGACTTTAAGGTATTTTTTTTTACAACAATCTAAGAAGAATAATTCTATCTCTTACCTTGTTAATAAGATTCTATTTATAATAATTTAAATATATAATTTACGAGTGCTGTGTAAAATTTTCACACTTAACCTATATTATTTCGAACGTTACTCTCAAGTATATATTGTCAATTATGTAGAAAATGTTCAAGTAGATCACTGTATGGGAATAAAATATAATTAATAACTATATCAGAGTCTCATGTCAATCCTAGTTAAACTAGAATCTAATAAATTCTTCATGTAAGTTTTAAAAAAAATAACAAGTTAATGATTGAGTGATTTTCATCGACATCAATTATTTTTAGAGAAATTAATTATTTATTACATAAAAAATCAATTGGAAAAGTTGAACAAAATCAATTATTCAATTAAAAACATTGATTTCACTGCAAATTTAAAATTGGAAAGTGTTTTACTCCAATGCACTTGATCAAGTGTTCACATCGACTATAGTCGAAACACTGAAAGAGTACATTTGGAGGTTATACAAGAAATTTTTATTTTAAGTTATTGTGTTTATTATATTTTTATATTTTATTTCAAATTATTCTAAGTTATTATTTATTAATAATTGTTAAACAGAAAATTATTTTACCTAAGAAATTAATTATTTTAGGTTGTGAACAAGCTCAGAAATAATTTGTGCGCATGCGCCAAAATAATTTCCCTGTATAACCTCCAAATCTACTCTTTCAGTGTTTCGGCTATCGATTGATTTATTTATATAGTTATTACACTCAACTCTGTAAATTCGAGTGTTTTAAAGTTAAACACTCCAAGTGTATATAATTTGAAATGCCATAAAAAAGCTATAGTAATTTTTTTGTCTAATTTCAAACGCTTCGACGCGTTCACTAAAATACTGTAATTTGTTTCTGACGTTCAACAATGTAAACACTCAAGTATGTTATTACTACACACTTAAAATTATCTGGATTTGCACTTACTCTAGTAAATAAAAGCTTGTTTCATATCCCAGGTCACTGTTATTTTATTCAATCATATAAAATATTCTTTTGAAAATCATAAATGAATGAAATATTTGCTGCCTGTGTTTTTTTTTGTGAGAAAAGTTCATTTCCACTAAATTTTCAAAGCCTTTCCACTGTTTAAAGTGCAATCGTAACCTGTGTGTTATTATTTGGATAAATTCTTTGTCCAATAATCCACTATTAATGTGTTGTAATCCATTCTTGCCAATTTGAGGTTATGAAATCTCATTGTTCAAATAAAAATAGGGCCTCAAGTAAATGTGAAAATGAATTTAAGCTTGGAATTTGAGAAAACTCTATGAAAAGACTACTTGAATTAAATTACTATCTAATTGAATAGAATAGATAACAATCATATTTAATCTAGGTGAACGAATAATTACTTGTTTGTTGTATTTTATAATGCTGTGTATATAATGTTCTCGACAAGAAGTGAAATCGTGCAAGCTGACGATGAACTTGAGGATAAATGACATTGACTTAGAGAGCATCGGATGAGTATCACGGACATGGAAAGACTTGAATGAGTCTCAATGATCTGTAGAAAATTGATCGATATCAATTCGTCCTAGAGAACGACCTCGTAACTTGCAACTATTCCTTTCTCTACTTCCAAGTAAATTATTTAACTATTAAATAAAAATCGAAATACCATTTTTACTTTAATCAGTCGTATGTCAATGATCATTTTTATCACTCATATCATTTTATTTATTAAACTCAACTGACTTGTTTGCCTTCAAACACTCCAATAATTATTATTCATGTCCATTTTTATCATTAATATATCCTTCTTGTTTCAATGAATTTCAACAAACATTTAATTAGCAAATGTACTTTTTTAAAATCAAATTAAAATGGTAATTTATTGAGAGGCTTTCTGTTATTTGTTACTCGATGATTATCACATGATGATAACGAGAACAATGAAAATTGATAGAATTTTTCTAACCAATTCTGATAAACAAAAAAAAGGAGACTCCCAGGTAGTGAAGTGTAGTGTTGAGAAAAGGATCAAATGAGTGGGGGGAGGAGGAGGGAAGACTGGTGAAGTCGTAAGAGAAGTGAAAGTCATGCGAATGAAAGAGTGAGACAAGAATTGCAATGAGTGAGAGAAAGAAAACTATGGATTACGGAAAAGAAAAAGAGAAAGATTGGTTCAAGTATAGTATAGAGGATAAAAGAACGAGCGAGTGAATGAGTGAAAGTGAGTTGGAATACCGAAGTAGGGAACTTAAAAACTGGAGCATTGCTTGCATAATGTTGAACAGTTTAAATGGCTTAAGGCGTTCCGTATCTATACACATATACATGCCTTTTTTTTCTCTCTGTCAGTTGGCTCTTGTAACGCCCAGTCAACTTACGGATACATAAATTTTTATATAAATTAACAGAGAGGACCGCTCTTGTGACATACAATTCACATTATTTGCTGTATTACAAAGTTTTAATTCTCGGTAATAATTGGCCTATTACTTTGTAACTATTCATTTTTAACTAGACTTATTGACAATTTCTTTTTCAGATCTTGATTGAATGGTATTTTTCCAATACTCACTTTGATAATTCGTAATAATTTGGAACACGTCCAGCCACGAAATTCTTGATTATGTAATGTACGTAATTTCATATAAAAACCAATGGATATTATGAATACAACTTAACCATATATGTTTACGAATTTCATTACATGCTTGTATAATGATAATTATTATTATCAAATTACGTATAGAATTATATTTCTCGAAAATATTTTTTTTATACTTCTTTTTATTATATCATACTTGAAACTTTTTTCGTTAATATCGATAGAAATTTTTTTTTTTTTTCTTTTCACTTATTTATATTCAATAGTCAGCATTAGCTGAATATTCATGACAATATTTTAATTAAAAGGAACTTGGACAAGGTTTACAAGGTCATGAATGAAATGAAAGATACTGAATAAATTTACCTAAGTAAGAATGTTACGAAAATATTTCCAACTTATTTTTTTTTTTCGTATACTGCGCAAATAAATATTTAATTATATATAAACTAGATTTGATGGAATGAATAATTAAAGTTAATATTTTTTTTTGCAAACAATTACTGCTTAAAAAGTGACTACAAATAAAACAGAAATAGTTAAAAATTAAGACTACCCATGGTGATTTGCCGTTAATTATTTTAAAATAATAATTTATGGGTTTTAAAAAATAAATTAAAATGTTTAATAATAAAACACTTAAGTGTTGACAATGTTTAACGCCATACACAAACTATAGCATTTTGGTAAACAGCAAGAAGTGTTTAAAAATCGTCAACAAAATTACTATAGTTTGTTTATAACATAAAACATTGTAAACACTAAAAGTGTTTAGTTTTAAAATAGACTCAGATTCTCAGTGACTGTATAGATTATAAAATACATAATTATATCAAATGTTTGAGATAAAAAAAAAGAGAGAACGTAAAAATATCGCAAATACTTTCAAAAATAAATACCTTCTCATTATTAAAGTTAGTAGTCGTCACTTTTCTTTTTCTAAACGATAAGAGTATCCGTGTAGTTTTAGTATAATTTCCACGTGAGTTCTCACGTTGAAGCCACACTAATTTTATATACTAGTACAAGAGAAGGGTTATAATCATTACATACATAATGTAAAGTCTATTATCTGTCAAATCTAAAAAGGTGATCATGTTTTTAAATGTTTGAACTTTATAGTATGAATTCGATAAAACTTTCTCTAACTTAAAACTCTTTAATTATCCACTATCTTAATAATACACTTTTGATAAAAAGTAATTTAAATAATATTATTTAATTCAATTAATTAATAGAATGAAGAAGATTTTTTTGTTTGGAATTTTTTTTTTTTTTTTTTATTTAAATAATTACAATTGTAAAGAGTAAGTATGGATGTGTTTAGTCATTTTACTTTTGTTCATTCCAAGTTTATCCTTTAGTAGCATATACTTCGCAATACTTATCACGATCAGTAGTTGTGAGGTCAACGAAAAAGAAATCGGACATATCCTAGCGTGACGACGATTTAAATCTCTAAATCTCTTACTAATGTTCTTTCTCAATATTTTTGTCCTAAATCACTTATACATAGATCAACTGGTACCCCCTATAAGATCTTTTATAAGATTTTTCTTTTTTTTTTTCTACTTGTAACGTGTGAATTAAATACTATAGGACTTTAACTGATACTGAAACGCACAAAAATCAACAAGCGTTAAAACAATCGTTGTGTCATATTGTCGAAATTTTCATGATTAATCGTTTTGTGTTATAACACAAAAAAGTACTTTTTTTTTATATGCATTACAATAATTAAAATTCATGATAATTATTTTTTTTTATATCCGGAAATTAATGGTAATAATTTTTTTTTCTTTATATTTTAAATGATTTAATTAAAAAAATTTAATATTCTATTGTGTATCGTCAGCAATAAAAGTCATTGATTAATTTCAGCAACACCTCATGGGACGTAATCTTACAACGAAATAAGGGATATTACTAAAGAGATCTCAGAGAGTCTAGTGAATGAGAAAAAAGTATCGTGAATGACCTGTTGTTGTTTATAACGATCCCATGATTAAAGTTAGTCACGATTTTATCAGGAATATTATAAAAGTATTACATGAATATGTTAATAAAATTTAGAAAAAATAATAATTACATTATAGAGTGATGGACAAATAATAAGTTTGAGAAAAGTCTTGGTTTGGAATAAGATGACGACAGGTCTTCTTCACGTGCAAAATTGACTTGTTCAACTTAGCAAAGAGTCTTGAGAATACTACTCGCGTGACACTACCATATTTTGTTTCAATTACGTGAACACGTGTTATTAAACTCTGATTTCAACAGACTTACTTGTAATTAAATAAACAATTATAAATTGCTAAAAGTATTTTAGTGAATAGTTTTGATATGTTTATTTAATCATTTTAATAAAAGATATTTTTTATTATGTAAAAATTAATGATTAATAATTCAAAAATTTAATTTAAAAAATCACATAAAAATTCAAAAGAATATTATTTATTTATATTTACATGGAGAAAAAAATTTTTTCTATATGAGAAAATGTTTATTTAATTGATAAAAAGAATTTAAAATATTTGCAATAAAATATTTTATTGAATTTAACGAAATGTTATTAAACAATAAATCAATTTATGTATTAATAAATATTAATAGTTTTAGTGGATTAATAAATAGGATAATTGATAAACAAAAAGCTCAATGAGTTTTTATAATCTTATTTTAATTATGATAATAAATTTAAATAGTAATGATACTAGATTAATTTTTACTGTCTGAGACACTATTGTAACGGTTTATTCCTAGTAAAAAATTAAATATGTTTAAATTTCAATTATCAGACAATTTAACTAGTAATTAATTTACATTAATTATTATAATAAACTAGACCTCCTCTATATCTGTATTTATATATTCAGAATGATTTTAATTTTTAAAAACACAAATAATACAGTTTGTGAGATGTGACCTTTACACTATGAATCTTAAAATAATATGATCAATTTAATGACACATTAAAGTAAATCAATATTCAAATAATTCTATTCAAAATAATAAAGCACAATAAAAATGTATTTTTCCAATATATTATTTTTTTATAATAAATATAATAAAAAATACATTTTCAAGTAAATATCAGATTAATATTTTTTATTTATAATTTATTGTTGTTTTTTTGTTCAATAAATTTTATTAATGAAAAAAAAATATTACTTATTACCATTGAATTTTTTTCTCAGTGTATTTAATCGTTAAATGAATCTCAACTATTTGCAAACAATCTAAGTGCACGATAAAATAATAAATAGCGTCAATATAAAATCAATCCCTTATAAGTAATTGTTGGTCAAGCGTATAAACCGGTTGTAAATATGTAGTATAAAAATATTATTATGCTTACATTAAAACACTGTGGGAATAAAATAAGAATTGCGCGTTGGCGAAGGTTCCAGAAGTAGTTATAAAGGATTATTTTTCCTCAAACAGGGTGTGTCAATCCTTAGCTCGTATCTAACCTTTTCTTTATTATATTGCTTTTGCCTTAGAGAATCAAAGCGTCAACTATGTGTTCACCTAGTTGTGGGTGGAGTTACTAAGTCTATTTCATTAAAAGAAAAAATTCTATGTAAAGATAATAACTTGGATTATGGTATTATTTGAAAGATTAGGTTCAGAGTGATATAATTTTTCTTAGCCTTTATGTATAATGTTATTCACATTAAAATACCACAATGAAAAGTGATTTGGACCATAGCTATATAAATAGTGTGACTGAATAGTAGAATTACATCAAAATAATTTAACTTTCTTCACGTTCTCGTCACCTGTTATTAAGTACATAAGATATACAGATATAAGAGGTTGAAAATAAAAATAGCCTATTATTAAAAACATATTTGAGACTTTAATGAATTTAATCGTCTGAGAAATTATTTTTGATTAAAAATTAATGGACTTAAATGAGAGTATTAAATAACAAGTTTAGAAAAGATTATAGAATTTTTTTTTGCTTTTAATAATAAAACTAAATCAATCAGTTAATTATAATTGAACTGCAGGGGGTAAAAATATTAATGAATAGTGCATTGCTGTCTGAATAGAATATTTTAATGCCTCTAAGGCGTAGTTATATTTCTTTCTTAAGACCTTATTTAACTTGAATCAAGTCCATAATTGTTGGTAGAAATCTATTTCAAATTCCACTGTCCGATCATTCTCTGAATCGTTTAACAAATTTTATCTTGACGTTCACTTACATATGTCAAAATTTGATCGATTACAATGAAATATTTTATTCTATTTATGTAAGTACTCCAATAAATAACTCACAAACTTATACTAAAGAATAATAATATTTAATCCTAACTTTTCATTTAAATTTTCCATTAATTTTTTATTCTTTATAATCTTCATTTTTACAGTCAATAAAATAATGTGCTTAAGCTTAAAAAATTAGGATAAATTCGGGAGAGATGGCCTATCCGAATAATTTATAACACTACATCTACCATGATATTCAATCCTTGAATTTTATTATCATTCATTTTTAACTTTGATTAAAGAATATTTAATAATTATTGAAAGAAATTAAAATACACACATTACAATGTTATTAAATCCAAAGAAATTTATTCACACCAAAACTATCGTGTGAAACTGGAATAAACTTTTTTTTTATCTGATTCTCTCATTTCATTATTGCGCAAAATAACTGGATTTTCTCGTACAATATTACCACCATGATTAAAAAAAATATATTTGTTTTTTTTTATATAAAAAATATTTAAAAATGATGATGGGTAAATAAATCACGGAGTTTTGAGAAACAGAAATATTTATTAATATTAAATAATGCATAATTCAGTGCATCATAAATTATTGCTATCAAATAACTGAAATAAAAAACAATAATAAAAAGCAATTTAATTGAGTGATTTTAAAATAAATAGATTGATTTAAGTGAATGAAAATCTAAATAATTATTCTGATTTATTATGATGTGTTGTGATCAATCAGTCAAACGAACAAACGGTGACCTATCTTAACTGTTAAAAATAATAATAGAAGTTGAGATAAATAGAAAAATTGGAGAGTAAATTGAATAGTGACTTGTCAAAATGATTAAGTGATGGATTAAACTAAATAGAATGGAGTTTAAGAAGGAAAACACCTGAGGATTCTCGTGTTATTCGGCCACGCATCTCGCATCTGTCTCGCTCTAGTGAACAGCTATTCGATCCACCGGAACTGACCGCTCGATCTCTCGCAATAAGATCTATTCAACGATCACGTAAGAGTGCGGACAGTATTAAGAAAGATTTGATATATTCAAATGATGTAAATAATTCTGAATATAAATTGATAGAAAGGTAGTGGACAAGAAATTCCTAATTCAAAAACAACATTTGATATATATTTTTTTTTTTTACAAATGATACAAATATAACATTCAAGGACTGTTTGAATTATTTATCATTGTTTTTGATGAAATATCTGATCGAGGACATCAACATTATTAATTATTGTGCCCTTCATAAGACCTTGGACAAATATGTAACATAAAACATTCATCGAATTAATACTAATATATGTAATGATAATAATAGTAATGTACTCAAGTTGTCGAGACACAAGTACATTGCACTCTAGTATCGAGTATTTTACTTTCAATTCTGCGGTGTTTCCACCCAACATAAGAAAATGACTAGAGGCCGAGGTCTAGAAAGTCCAACGCCCGTCTGGCACACCGGAATACTTGTACAATATTACTGGATCATGTTTGTGTATTTCAGCGTACACTCGATTATCTATCACTTTCCAATTCCATATTTACACATTCATATTGATATTTTATAATGTCAACCAGACTAATCAATACCCCAATTCTTCATTTTAATATCATCATATTTTTTCTAAACTCCGTTTTCCTTCATTCGTTGCGATAAATAAAAATAATCAGGACATGATAGAAAACTGGTATAACATTCGATGAATCAACAACCAGTTATTAACGAATATATTTATGATAATAAAAGAAATTTGAATTTTTTTTTACCTTATGCTGATTAAAGTGTGTCATACTTTATTGGATTTTCAATAAACTTTCCAATATTTTGAAGAAATGCTTGATCAAATGTGTTGTTAAATTATTGTGTCTCTATTTTTTTTTATGATTGACAAATGACGGAATTTTTACGGTCATTTTGAATAAACTTTTAGTTTATTTTAAGGATGTATGTCTAAAAAATTAGATTTTTTTTTTAATTATGAATTCTTAAATTCTTTTTTCTTATTTTAACTAACAATTAATTAGTGATTATTTAAATTTTATTTATTTATAATTATTTATTACAAATAAAAGTTACCATATGACTTCTATTGTGATTCAAACTACCCGGTAGTGGACATGGAAAATTATTAATTAAAATATTAATTATATTTTTATTAATCGAGTAATTTTTTAAATAAATAATTTTATCAATTGTCAATAAATAAAGACAATTATAGGACTCTGAACTCAAAAAAATTAATAATGATAATTAATAAGCCTACCAACATATAAAATACCAATTTTACATTAATTCAAATTTTACAATTAATAATTCCGAGTTTAATAATTAATTGAAAACTTACTATAATAACTTTATTTACTTAAAATGTTTAAATAATATTACCAATAAACCGACGCAATAAAATTGGTAAAAAAAAAACTACGTAATACGACTGCTAGTAAGAAGGAAAAGAAAATGCAAAGAGAAGCCCAATCGAGATTATAATTCACTTTCGATTCCGTCAGGATTTTCACCAAAACTACGTACCCATGCGAGTTTGGTTTCGCTCTAGAAAGTTCGTCGGCCGTGCGTTAATGTATTATAAGTGCACTCGTGATCAATTGACGTATTTATTCCCAAAGTAAAATATCCTTTTCTTCGATAGAAAAGCTATTGTATAGAAAAAGACCATTTTTTCAACGTGAACGAGTTTAGATGATTTTTACAATTCATTAACGTCAAGAGTAAAAACAAATGGTGGTTTGTTATTTAATATAAAAGACAGAAGAAAGGGATTCTTGAGAGGATTGTAACAAGTTTAAAGGAAAGATAATGTCCTACGATGTATCCGTAACTGCGTGAAATCTCAAGGAATATCGCGCCTACCCGTTTAAATACTAACGCGGATGTGTTTCAGATCTATAGATATGCTTTTATAGAAGTCTCCATATTTCAGTTTTACAACTGGTCATTATATAAATAAAGTCTGCCGGACGCTCGTAGACCGTGAAAATATATATTACTTATAAATATATTAATAAATAAATCACATTAGTATTCATCTTGTACGATAAATTTATTTTCACAATAGAAATCATAATCCGATGATTAAGCATCATTGAATCAATCATTTTCACTTTAATTACTGCTACTGAATATTATGTCATAAAATATTACATTGTTAATCCTGAGAAATATCTCGCAGAATATAACAACCCTGTGATCCTGCATCAAAAGTATTGTTTTTAATGGCATAATGAGTATCATGATTTGTAATTATTTAGTTATGGTGCTTAATCTTCACATATTTTTAATAGAATTTATTGTTTAAATACGATGCGAAATAATGAATGAGCGTTGATTTATTAAGTATTAGGTGTACTTTCTTAAGAATATATGGATTAGATAAGTGCATAGTATTTGATATATCAGCTGGCAAACATGACGCATAGAAAATTGATGTAATTCACCTTTCCCGACAAGTTATATTTTAGCTCCCGCGTGCGTACGTGACGTACACGATACTGTATAAGGTCTGAGCAATCTCGAATTGCCGTGGGAGTGCGACTGATCGATCCCACGGATTGATCAAGGTTTTTTCACGCCAGATTCAATCGACAACTATTTATTTGAACATTTATTATATAAATGTTTAAGTATAACAGAATGCTAGCGCGCCCTTTTATCCATGTAATTGTTATACAATCGATTGACTTTCCGCCGGATTTCCATTCCACTGGCGGTACCGATTTATATGTTTCAGGTATTTGCACGTCAGAAGGTCATCAGACTCTCAAAAGTGGGAGTTGGATTGCCAACGATGATGGTCCTTGGACTCCCGGATTTAACAAGGGAAGGTCCGGGTTCAACTTTGAAAGAAAAAGTTTCACCTTCCTAAGGACGTACACATTTATTTTGAATCTTTATTACGATCCCTTCACCAATTTAATCGGTTTGCATTGAACAAGGAGGATTATTATTATTATTATTATTGCAGGCATTATTAATTGTCATGGATTTTACCTCTCAATTACTATTTTATTATTTAATCGAACCATTGAAAACCTTCTTGGTCGTACCGAGGCAGAATTTATAATAATTTTTCAACTTCAAAGTCTTTAATTATAATTTTAAAAAATTTATGATGATATTCAAGACTAGAATAAGATTCTTTAGATTAATCTAAGACATCACTGGAAATCGTAATTTTTTTGTTTCAATGTACTTCAAAGTGTTTATAAAATGGCTACAATTTTAATCAAATAGGTGATGTTATATTGAAACATTTTAAATGCTTTAAAATAAAACACTTTTGTTGTTGATTCCCAGGATGAATTGGAACATCTGAATTTAAAATCTAGTCGTGGATTGCTATTTTAATTGATGATTTTAAATTAAGTAGAATTTGTTTGAAAATTAGTAAAATGGTAAACAAAGAGAACATGGGTTTTTGGAGATAAAAGAGTTATTTATAATACTTTTAAAATCTATCGTAACTCATCATCGCGATAATTCCTGTCGTATTTTGACACATACTGGATTTTGTTCAACTTGTTGATATGTTTCTTTTTTTCGTTTTTTAAAGCCATAAAAACAGATTAAATTCTCTGGTTGGCGCCGAGACCAACTTTTAGGGACAAAAGAAGGAAAATGTATTTATACATAGCTAACATTCCTATTTTTTTCGAAACTGGTAAAACCGGGAATACTTAATTTTTATTTATAAAAAAAACATTTATCAGCCTCGAGGAAAATATATTGACAAGTTTTCTTTCTAATTTTATCTTTGATATTTGACATAAATATTGTTCGATTGAAAAACATCGTTATATTTCTCATCAATAATGAGATTTGCATCATCAATTTCTGTAGCAAACATTAAAATTAAATAACTCTTTTTTTTATTACACACTTTTAGATAATAATATAAAGAAAGTTATGTGTGTTGTCATTCATCAATTAACAGTTGTTTTTTAAGAATTTTTTTTCTTTCTAATTTGATGATTTTCTCTCACAGTACATATTACATTCTCATAACTCTATCATAAGTAAAAGATTTCTTTTCGATTGATGCAATAGGCCACATCATCGATGCTATAATCTCAATTTTTTCTTATCTAGCGACCTCAACATCTAGGAAGCAATAATATCTTAAATACTCATTTCTACATTTTTCAAATTTAATTTTGCAAGTCAACAACGTTATTGCACCGTCTTCGATCAACCGACACTAATTATCAATTGCGCATCAACGAGAATACTACTTTTGTAGCCTATGATGGGTGCGCAGAAAATTGCAACGGATGAACGTAATCGGTTTTTTAAACGAGTGAACTTTCCTCTTAAGTATTCAACTGATTTCATCAATTTAATATCTTGTTTTCTCAGTGTATTTGTTTCTTTATTTTATTCCATTTACTTTTTCCTTTTTTTTTATTGTGCTTAATCAGTATCAATAAAATGGGTGAGTTGATGAATTATTTTTTTGTTCTGTTTTTATTAAAGCTTACTAGAAACTCCTAATGAGTTCATACAGCTTTACATTACAATATGTAAATTATAACATTTTTTAATAATAATACTTTCAAAATATTTTTAAAAATACAATATTGTAATATTTATAAAAATTACAATATTATAATACTTTTTAAGATATTCATTTAAAAAAAAAGGAAAAAATAGTGCAAAAAAAATAATAAATAAAACTGCATAAGAATTTACAGACTTCAATGACAATTTCCATGTCAAAGTTCATATGGACTAACAACATCAAGATGATGAAGAGTTGGAACAATTTAAATGTGATCCATTTTCGGAGTAACCTTGTTCTTTCTTCATCATGCAAGAGGTACAGCCACAAAACATGACTGAGGTCTTCATACACATAATGACAGCTACATTTGCTACTCTCTACTATCCCATATTGTGTCATGATTGAGCAGGATACTAAGAAAGATCTATTATCGGCGTGAAAAGTATAGACCCCTTACTTTAAAGGTGTATAAAAAAGATACTAATAACTGCCTCAAGGTACGGTATTACTACCATAATCGGTAGTAACCATTTTGGAAGTGGATTTAAAGGTTGTAATATTAATTTTTTTTTTAATTCTTTCCAGGGAAGCTTTCAAGTTGGAATAATCACTTCGATGATGGTCTAGATGTTAGTCATTAATTAATAATTGATTAATTATAAGCTTCAAGAAATTAATTGTTGGACAATTTATTTTTCTAGAAGACTAAAAAAAGCTCTGAGATATCTAATTATGATTGGAGTCAAAAGAATAAGTTTATGGAATGATTTGATAGTTTGAAAAGGAGAAACAGACCTGCAAGGAATGGAATCTTGTCAATGAGTGTGGGTGTAAGCCTTGGTTAGTATTTTATTATCAGAGAGTTTGTGCAAAGGGTATCATTATAGTTGATAAAACTAACCAAACGTATAAACATGGATTCTAAAAATCCAGTATAAAATAAAAGTTAAATAGTATTAGTATCTTGGAAAATTATTAGATACATTTGACAGTAAATGATGTCAAGATAGGAGTCTGGTGTATATTGTGAATGATAAATTGCATTGCTCATGCAAACAATGCAACACCTCACCTAGGAAAACCAGTTTTGTTGCAGTCTCTTATTCTCTCTTTCTGTGCTTCTCCTCCACCCCTCAACAAGGATATTTCATAGGCCACGATTGCGCGAGTTTGAACATTTATAACTATCACTTGAAGGATCTTACAGAGATCATGGTGTATATGTATATGTAGTAAAATAAGAATAAGAGATAAAAGAAAAAATAAATAAAATTCATCGTACAGAGAATTCCACATAGACATCACGACGTGTACTGTACGCTTTTAAATAAAAAAACTTTTAAGCACGCGTACCTTGACTGAGAGAATTTACGAACTACCCAATGTGTAATGTTAAGAGAAAAGAAACGATAAAAGCTCCTCGAGGTCGTGTTCACACAAGACATGATAAAGAAAAGAATTTCTAGTAGTATTATTGCAAAATAAAATTGATAATAAAAATAAAAAATACCACGTGTTGTAACTATTTAAATAATTCATTTACTTACTTAATTATTTTTAATTATTTTCATTAACGACTGTATTTTTATTAGAGTTTATATTAGAAGTGTCTAGACATTTCATAGAGTGCAAAAGTAATGCAGTATTAACGTAAATATAAAAGAGACGGGTGTACTTCACCATTGAGGTCATTTTACCAAGAGACTGTTGCTTGATAATTATCTCAAAGCATAAAGAAATAATCGAAAGGATTTAAGGAATTATTAAAAACATCAAAGTTTTTTTTTTCGTTCAAATAATGGCGAGGTCATAACTAATTTTTATTATACACAATAATAATTGATACTTTTTAGTGGTAATTTTATGGAATGTTTAACTCTGGATTGGTAATATAATAAGATGCTATGCTAGATTATCTTTTGTCCATCCCAGGAAAAATGTCAATTGTTACATTTATATATTTAGATACATGTAATTTTTTTATCTAAGTTCAAAGTAAGAATTATAATAGAAAAAAATAAGGTATATTTTAAAAGAGAGAGTTTTTTTTAAGGTGAATATAATTGTGAAAAATAGAGAAATTTTCATATTTAAAGTAGACAATGTTATCTTCAATAAGTATCTTAAGTAATTAATGATTACGAAAAAAAAAAAATTAATTTCCTCAGAAATACCATAATTGTATTAACAGTTGAGTGATTAACTTTTATTGAGAATTTAATTTGTGTGTAGTAATGATGGATTTATAAATAAAAAATTTGTACAATAAAGTTATTAATATGCAAGATAAGTGAGATAATAAGAAGATAACATATGTTGGTTATTTAACTATTATGTATTATAACGATCATTAATTTATGAATAAATATTTTTTTTTTATCGTTTAATGATGATAATGAAAAATAAATCAAAGCCTTTTCTCTTGTTTAATAACTCCCAAGGAAGATTATTCAATGTGTATCTGAGAGCTAGGACAATTTCGTAAGGGTGTCTGTCTTTCTTATTTTCACATTATTTTTCAGACTGTATTTAAAATGAATTCTCTCGTACACGGTGATGTGGTTGCAACAGCCCTCAACAACTCGACGAAATAATATAATAGAAACAATCGAGCGAAACAGACACGAGACAACAGAATAACTTTTTCAAGATGATTTTCACTTGCTATACTACTACTCTATATAAATGCTACGCGAATTATCCCACGTTATTATTTTATATCTACACCAAAGCAATTGTGAGTATTTACTTGGGTAATTTTATATACTGCCAACAATTAAATATTGATATAGTTGTTCATTAACGGTGAACAAATAAATTTTTTGTTATAAAATTCAGTATGCGATTTTATATTTGCTAACAATTCTGACGAATATTCTTCTAGAATTTTAATTAAGGGATTGTAAAATTTTCTTTATTGACCTTTTGATTAAAGTGAGACGCATTTTAACATCTAAGTAATGACTAACATTACATAATGCCACTGGACAATATTTATGTATATAAAATTATGAATTGTATTAATTTATTTTTATGAAGACGTTAAAAAAAAAATTTGGAGTCATTAATTATAATTCACATGTTAACAATAACATTTTAACTTACATAAATTTGTCTGCATAACAATTAATCACAAATTTTTATATATCATTTTGTTGGTTTTTTTTTATTTTGAAAAATATTTATTATTATTAATGCGTCTTACGATTTGTCAAAGATTTGTCTGGTCAGGATCCCAGGACTTTATTATTATTATTATTTATTGTTAAATGCAAGTTAAAACAATTATTTTAATAGCAACATAAAATAAATAACGAAAGTTAAGAAGAATAAAAAATGAATACATACTAGAACCCCTTAGGGACACCCTGGAGCACACCCGGTGGGATAATTAATAATTAAATAGCTAAATTTCTTACTTGATACCGGTTATCCAATTGCACACTTTGATTACATAAAGTGACATTTTCGCTACTTGCATTCTACACCTTCCTACCCCTCCACCTCCTTTTTCTTTATACTCAAACTGAGGCTTTTAATCATACATCATAATAATTCCAAACAATCCTTATTTAATCTACTAGACACCTAATGTTTGTTTTGTTAAAAAAATATATATTCATGTGTACTGACCATTGACCAATAATATCGAAAAATGGCAAAAAAAATAAAGTCGATTGAAATGAAATTATGTCAAGGATAATAAACGTTTTCACCACTCACCCACTCTGGAAACGACAGCCAACATCAGCAGTAGGCTACTAACAAGTAGCATCTTGATTATTTTTTTCTTCACTGTTCGATTTGATTAATTAACCTTTTTTCTAGTTATTTAATTAAATACAAAGTCTATGAATAATGTTCTCAATTCAATTAACGAAACACTAGCAAAAAGCGAGAAAAAAAAATGACATCCAATTAGAAATAAAGCTCGGTATTAGCTCGGAAAAACAAATTTAATTTGTGAAAATTATAGTGAATTCACTAAAACACTTTATAAACACGTAATAAAAAAATAAAGTGATTAATTGAGATGGTATATTGTGATTGAAACAAAGTAAGATCAAAACAAACTTTTGAATCTAGACGTCAACAAGATAACTTTCGTCTGACTCTTTCAAAGTTGCTGCTACTGCTGTTTTTTAGTGCGCTGTTTAGAGCCACAGCAGCGCCATTGACGATCGCAAACATATGCTTCAGTCACGAAGAGAGAAAGGTGACTGAATATCTCAAGGCGTACTCAATACCTTCTGTCTTCTCGGTGTAAGTCACCTTTCTATCGAAGTCAAGCAGCAACAAAGAAGGGAGTGTTATGTTTACGGGGATAACGCACTAGGTACTGTGCCACCGCCACCATCACTTCCACCACCGCCAGAGCATTCTCCAACGGTCACTTCCACCCAACTTTGACGACTGGACATCATTTATAACACCTCTTATTTTTCTCTACTCCAATGATCTTGAAATCACAGTTGGTTCTTAATTTTCATCATTTTTTTGCCAATTATTCCAACAACTTTAAAATAAATTACTCATTCATATCGATTATTATCTTCATAAAATAGACATGTTTTTGCTTTAAAAGTCATTACTTTCTCAGTGAATTAATTCGAATTATTTATCAGATAGTGATTAATTGTCTAGCAAGCCATTTAAGAGTTATTTGATACATATTATGTGATTTAACCTCAAGAAAGCTGAAAAAATATTCATATGCTAAACTATTGTAAAGCTTTCGAAATTTATGCATTGAAAGAAATAAATGAGATACCTTGGAAAAAGGTAAATATCTCAATGTAGAGTGTGATAAATAATTCTCAGTACTAGATAAAAAATAATTATTAATAGGGACGTAATTAACTTGGTGTCTCTAGAGACTGAAAGCGAGAAAAAGAAGAGTTTTTCGTTACGCTTCGTACAGTCAATTTATCATTAATTCTTATGAGCTTTATTGTAAATACATGTATAAATTAAACATATTCTATTAATTTAAAATACATTCAGACGATGAGACACGCAAGTTTGCCCCTTGCATAATCCCGTGAATGCACAATAGAAATCGTGAAATAATTTCAACAATTAATCTATCAAAAGCTCTACTTTAACGCCATCTATTATCTTAAATAAAGTTGTAGAAAATTTTAATTAGAATATAAGTTTTCTTTTTAATTAATGCATTATTTATTATCGTATAGAATAAGTTATGCCAAATAGAATGCATGTATGAATAACGAATGAAAAAATAACCAATAAAGCAAAAAGGAACAGCAAAAAGGAAAGATTAATGCACATTGACAATAAATTCTCTCTAGTATCCACGTGATTTATTATGCCCCGGTTCACGCGGTGTATTAAAAGCACTTGCAGAAAATTCTTGAGCTCATGGTGCTGTTCATGATACGCATAAATGTCTGCCAGAACTTAACTTCACTTCTAAATTATGTTTAAGGCTGGGCTTTACATCGTTTTCCTCCTAGAAAATCTCAAGAAGTCGGGAAATGACTTATTTATCAGCTTATTAGCAATTGTATCTACTGATTTTGATATCAGAATAAAGTTTATTTCATATAGAACACGGCTTCTGAATATTTTTGTTTATTGCTCAATATTTTGATGGAATTTAATTAAAGAGAAAATCGTCATCGAATTATCACGAGATTTTTCATGGTCGTCTATAGAAAAATAATTGATTGTTTATTTTTTACTCCATTTTTCCCGGAAAGAATTGTTGGCTGGTGTCCTTGCCACGGTCTATATTATAAATAAAACCAGTTTAAATAATAAAACGCAATAATTAAGTCGTATTTTTCTTTTTATTTTTCAGATGCTTTTTACTACCTCTATTAGGGCAAAAAATTTAAGTGAAGCCTAGTCTTAACCCTACATTGGATCCAGTGACATGTATGGTACAACCAACTCTAATAAAAACAGCTAAAAAAAAAATAAAATGTCTTCATTTACTGGATTATGATTTTTTAAATCATTTTTCCAGGTGTCTAGACCTTAAATAAAATCAGATATATTTTTTCAGACTAAAAACCAATTACGCATTGTAAGGTTAATTTTTGTTCATCTACAAAGAAAAAATATGACCAATCAAATCTGCTACTTTTGATTGTACTTATTTGTATTTTACATCACAATTTTCAAATCGAATTAATTTTACACCATTATTTTATTAGTTATTAAAAGACATCTATTTTTCATTTGTTCAATGTAATGGTCGATAAACGAATTACTTTATATGCTCAATTACCATTTGGTTTGCATGCTTGGTTTCATTTTATTCTCTCATGGACTTACAGATCATATGTCTTTCTACGACATAATGGTTCTGCGCACATATTGCTTAAGATATTAACCTTTCTTTTTACCTTGATCGGACAAATTTACTACACATTGTAGCAGTGAGTGGATTCTGGACAGTGCTAATAAACGAATTAATTGAAAGAATAAATTACCACGTCGTTTAATTTTATTCATCACATTATCAATGCTATCAATGATTGGTTATTAATTGAATACATAAATAATCTTGGGTAAAAATCATCAGAAAGACCATTTGAAAGAATATCATTCCTATGAAATTGATACGATATGTCATTCGAAACAAATAATGTATTAGTTTTAATATTATGTAATTCATAAAAAATCACCTTCAGTACTAAAACGTAAGTATTGTATGTTCACTTTCGGTGATATACCAAAATTACAGTAACCCTGAGTAACTTACCTAACAACGCATGTATCAACTCTAGGTCTCATGGGAGTAGTGCTTGGATAAGCACATAGATATAAAACACTTTCGCAAGGAACTCTTGTCCTCTTGCAAGATACCGTCCGCCCCAGCGTGAGACGAAACGGACTCAACAGTTTACCCATTCACTATACACTCATTACACGATTTTTCATAGCATTGTGATTCTGTTTTTTCACACGTCAGTTGCACTTAAATAATATTTATGAATTGCTAATATGATTAATTATTTACTGACCTTCAAATCTGTTACAATACCAAACCGAAAAATTAGATTAATTAAAAACGTCAAGGAGAAATTTAAGATTAATGATAAAGTCACAAAAAATTCACTTTAACATTATACTATTATGAAGGAAATTATTTCATAATTATTGGAATGTTGATATTATTCGGTGAAAATAAAAAAGGCCTTGGAGATAGAAGATAAAAATCAGATATGCATGGATTGTGATCTGGTTTAAGGCCGTAAATGTTGGTTAAAAGTTTGATGTATGGATAAGTAGAGAGAATATGGGAACATACCAAAAACAATTAGAAAGTAAAAATGTCACGGGAAATACATTACATAGCAGACTTTGAATTTGGGATTTTTTGAATGAATTAACAGATTAATTTTAATGAAATTTTTAACTTCAATCTTTGTATCTATTAAATAGTTTTTGACTTTTATTAGTAATAGCTATCAAGACAATTTTGATATTTACAAAATTTAATGTTACAACGTAAATTAAGTCTCAAAAAATATCGCGTGAGACTTAATTTGTTATTATTGTTATCTTAATAATGATAGTGATAAATATTGACAATGAATGCGCGGAATGATTCAACTAAGAGATTAATTTTATTCATTTTATAATAAAAGTATTAAAAAGAATATTTTTTTTTGTATTAAAAATTGCATAATTTTCTTATTCAATTCGTATCAGTGTCATTGATTTCAATGATGAATTGATGAACAATTTTATAGATATACAATCTGGTACTGACTATATTGTTATATTTAATTACTAACTAATTCAATTTGCCGATATTTTTTTCGTAAATTGCTGACTGGGTCTTTGAATAATACAGGATCTAGTCTCATGTTGGACCGCAACAAAGGCATGTAACCAAACACAGCCACAAAAGTATTCATGCAAGTTTGCCGTTGTGTGAAATGATCTGGATCATTCCATGAGGATCTATCACAATGAAAATTAAATAGTTAATAATATTTTATTATTAAATAACTCTTCAAAATTTTAAAATTAATTCTTCACATCAACATAACTACGAAATGTTGGTTAATCAGTAGAATATAAAGGGTAAAGTTGCTTAAATCGTACCCCATATTGTCTAATAGTCCAGTAGCTAAAGAAAACTACCTAAAGAATAATTGCTTCCTAGTTAGATAGGTCTTAAAATTACGGCTACTGGACTATGAGTCGTATTTAGAATAAAGACGCCAAAACGACATAATAAATATATAGAATAATGTCGGCGAGCTACTCATTTCATTGTTTCTTACTCGCACGACTAAATAGTTGAATTTAAGACTACTCGATGACACTTTGTTATAAATATAAGATCAGATATTACTGGAGTACGACATAGGTTGTGGTACGACTAAAGCGACTTTACCCTATTTATAAATATCATACCTAATTCCAGCTGCCGTAGTATCCTTATAAAGTTTACGTTGAGTAATTTTAATCGGTGGTCGTCGAGTAACGTGGCTCACCAAAAAATTCATGAGTATATCTTCACAATTTTGGGACTGTTCAACAGTTTTATGTAACGTCGAACTTAACGATTCAGTATATAAACTATTATAGTAACGATGATAAAAAGCTGCTCCAGTTAAAACAATACTGTAGTCATTTGTCCATTTACTAGTGTAACCCCAAGATCGCTGGAATGATATTTTTATGATATAACTGTCGGGATTAAAGTTATAAAATTATTATTATTCTATTCACCTTGGAATCATCCCAGTAATGAGATCTAGCTGGATATCCAACAATTCGATCGGGAAATGATTGCCATACGACAAAGGCAAAATCAATTTCATCAGTATTGAGAGTAACATCTTCATCCAATGATAATATGGCACTGGTTTGTATTTGAGAATAAGGATAGAAACGTTGGGATATACTACTAGCAACTATCACATTAATCGTTACTTTGATGCCTTGCCAACGTGGTCGTCTTGGTATAGGAATATCAGAATTCCACAGTAAAATTATCTAAAATAAATATAACAATAAAATGAATAACTAATAGACAAAATTTTTTATCAATATTACTAAGATTACTGAAGGTTAAATGTATAATAAAAAATCATAAAAAATAATTCCCGGAAACTTACCTTATCTAAATATTTACTCTTGGCAACGCTTCGAAGTAGACGATAAAGAACAGCAGTGGACCCTAACTGTGAGTAAATAATGGCAGTAAATGCATTGCCTGGTTCATTATTTGAAAACGGAAGCTCTTGCTGACTATCTGCAAACTGTGGTAGAATTGCCAATGCACCAGGATATGTATTCCATAAAAGTTTTTCACGTGCACCTTCCCACGGTAAGCGTTCGCGAATACTCTAAAATTAAATTTAAATTTTATTAATCAAAAATTTTTTTTTTTTATAAATAACTTTTGTATTTTATGTTTATCAACTTACCTCAAAGACCGTAAAAATAATCTTTTCAATAGAAGAAAAATATCTTTCCCATAAAAATTGGGTTTGTTGTCTCAATTTCAAAATTTGTGTATTTGGAATGGAACGCAGAATATCAGGAATCTATAAATATATTTATTTGTGTTAATTATATTGAGAAATAAATGAAACATATGAAATAGAAAGTGGAATTTTGAATGGAAAAATACCAACCTGAAACAACAATCTTTCGTCTGTAAATATAACTGCTTGATTCCAGTCAATACGATCATGAAATGGTAGTGCCCATCCATTACTTAATATAACAGGAATACATCCGGCTTTGAGAGCTTCTAAAAATCGAAAACTACCAAGCCTACGTCCTCTCGGAACTAAACAAAAGGTTGAATTCAACAACAACACTTCGTAATCATACCTAAAAGGAAAAAACAATCACAATTAAAATATATTATAAATAACATTTGGGTGATATAAAAAATAGTCAAAATTTACGTGTCATATTCTTGATTATCTTGTTGACAATGTTCATCTTGAAGCTCTCTCCAGGCTTTGCCATGTCGACAAGTGGTGACAAAAACAAGATCTTTACCATTATGAAGATGATAAAGAGCATTTCTTGTTTCTGAACCAATTCCATGTACATATCGTTTCCCTTTAAATGCTGCTAAATATTTTTTATTGCTAGGAAAATTATTCTCAGGTGCTTGACCAGGTTCTCCACCTCGTTCAGGATGTTGTTTTCCAAAAAGAGGAATAGAAACATCAAAATTTGACCGAAGAATACTTATAGACATACTTGCTTTAGCTAACATTGCATAACCAATATTAAAAGCTAACGCATCTTCAACATAATCGGGCCAAGTTCCAGAGTATAGATTGAAAATGAGATGATTTCTACCTTCATTCCAATAAGGTAAGCGTAGTAATTTTGAAGGTAGATTATGAATAAATTCTGTTGATAATGGATCTCGATCTAAGGTGTCCAATGCCAATACAAATAAACATGCACGTGATGGATCTGACGTGTAATAACGAGATTCAGTGATAACATTTAATATTTTTTGGTATAATGGACTTATAGCATCCTCAACTGGATATACATAAACAGTAAATCCTTTTCTACACTTTGTGTAATCAAAACAAGTATCCATCCGACATTGTTTATGTGGATTTATTATTAAAGATTTACCGTTAGATAATCTTAAATCTTTATCATAAAATTCTTCATTTATAGTCAAATAGGATGGCAATTTTTCCCAAGAGTAATGTATTATTTCATCAATATTTCTACTTTTTAATCTATAACCACCAAAATAGCAGTACCCAAGAAACGCACATGTGACAAATAATAATAGATAACGTTTTTTGGCCTGCATTTTGTAGTTTTTTTAAGTAATTGATTCTTCTAATTTACACATACACGATTACATTTAATTTAAAATATCGTCTCTTGATTATAAAAGTCACTTTGCTACATTCAAAATGCATTGCAACTCTTATACAAAATAATTGCCAACATTATTCTCTGTATATATATTTCTATGTGTAGATATAATATATGACAATTGGATTATTCTAGAGAAGAATTGACTCCATTGCAGGATATTGCTAAAACAGAAAAAAATTCAAGTAGATCATTTATAACAAAGCTTTGATTGTTCTCAATGCCTAGTCACTAGCAGAGTAATTGAATAAATCAAAGAACATATTTATGTTCTATTATATCTTCTACCAGGGACTTTTTTAGATCTTCATAAATATTAACAAGAAAAAACGTGAAGTTAATGATATGCGTAATCATAATTGATTAATAGAGTTGTTATAACATGATTATTATTTTATGACCAGTAATTTGGATTAATTTTATGTTATGTATCCAAAAATTACAGCAATAAATGATATTTCATGTATTAATTACTATTAAATAAGAAAGAATTATTTGAAAATGTGATAAGAAATATCAGTTTGATAATTTATATCAACTGGTTAAATTTTTTATCTTCCAATATAAAAATTACATTAAATGTATGATACATAAAAAATATAACGGATATTATTTGAGTTGGAAGTAAAAAATGCCAAGTATTATATTTATTGTAATTTATGTAAAGCAGTGAAATTTAATATTTCTTCTCGTCGTTACTTTAATGTTTATTATTGTTTAATAGACTGACTTCTTTTAATTTAATGCATTATTTTTATTTTTGGTGCTTTATGAAAATTTACAAAGAAAGAAATTTAATCAAAATTACCTTTGATAAATCGGAGCAGAATATTCAGTAGTTTCCAAAGTATTTGACTTTTTGATGCTCCAAAATACCTCTTGTAATATTCTTTTTCTATACGTATATGCACTTACTGCAATTACGTATTTTAAACTCTTGTATCTCTTTAAATATTGCTTCATAGCCAATTGCGATCACGATTTGAATGTCGTCATTATTTTTAATATAATTCACCAATAATATAAGCCTGGATCTAGTGACTTAACATTAGCATGTTATATTTAATTTTTTTTTACAATTATAAAGTATATAGTATTGAATAAGGCTGTCTTCACTAATCAAAAATATTAAAAAACATCACATTTATTATCATTACATACTAAAGTTTTAATTTTTTTTCAATATTTTAATTTTGAATAAACTCAAACAACATGACTCTTTTAGGTTAGTCCTTGCGGACTTGGATCGTCTCCACAGTAGTTTATATTCACGTAAAAACATTTTTTCACATTCTATTTTCATTTCGATAACAAATTATTATTTAACAACGAAAAATTAGATAAATATCGTCACATGTTGATGAACAAGTAATAAATTTAAAACCTTTTGATGAACTGCCTTGACATTTAAGTATACAAAAGAGCAATATATGTATGCTATATGTTGTCTAGTTCACGAATGAACCAGAGATAACTTTGAAAAGGCTGTCGGGGAAAAGGTGCCAACTATTAGCCGACAAATAAAACTTTTGAAGTTACCGACAGAGCCGACTTTATCGACTCAGCATCTTCCAATGCTGTTTTTCTATTCTCTGATTCGCATCATTTTGGCAAACAAAAGTAAATATGTTTATAATATGAGTAGAGTTTTTTAACACATTATTTATAAACGTATATTTTTTAATTAATATATCATAAAAATGAGTGATTTTCTGGCAAATAATAATATTTGTGGACAAAACCTTTTGCGTCTTGTTTCTCGAGGAAATGCAATTATTGCTGAATTAATGCGTCTGAAGGAACATGTACCGCCAGTTTTTAAGTAAATAAATTTGAAACCGAAAATAATAATCTTGAATAAAGGAATATATTAATTAATAATATATGACCATTTTTCTAGGTTAGATTCAAAACGTAATTTGCAAAAATATGGATCAATCATTATGGACTTTGCATACTTTAAAGCTGCTAATATTCATGAACAAAAAATTGAAAATGATCCAGTAAGTACTGTTATTCTTTTCAATCAAGTCCAATGTCAAAAATGAGTCCTCCTTTATTTGAAATGTATTCTAGATTCTCCAAGAGTTGGATGAAAATTTAAGGGAAAGCTATGCAGATGTTTTATCTAGATTTTATTTAGCATTTGAAAGTATTCATAAATTTATCACAGATTTGAATACTTATATTGACGAATTAGAAGATGGGAATTATATTCAGCAATCAGTAGAGAGTGTCATGCTGAATGAGGAAGGAAAACAGTTAATGGTATGCAATTAATCAACAACAATAAAGGTGGTGATGACTATTTTATTTTACAAATAGAAAGTAATTTAAATATCTTTAGTGTGAAGCAGTGTATCTGTACGGTGTTATGCTACTGTTAGTAGATCATCAATTTGAAGGTCAGATAAGAGAAAGAATGTTAGTTTCCTATTATAGATATAATGCTCAACGATCATCTTCAACGAGGGTAGATGATGTTTGTATGTTATTAAGATCAACAGGTTTCTCTAAATCATCGTTAAAACGACCATTAAATTATCCAGAAGATTATTTTAGGTTAGATTTTAATCTACTAATTTTTTTAAATATGAGAAGCATTATGATAATCATATACCTACTCATAATTTAGGAGAGTTCCGATTAAATCTACGTTTATTGATCTTTTAATCGGCCGGCTGAGACTAGATGAGCTTTATAGCCAGTCTTTAACATTCCCAAACCCAGAATATCGCAGTTTAGCTTCAGCTAATCAAGCTGCTATGCTAGTTATCATTCTCTCATTTCAATCGTCAATTCTACAAACAGGATCGGCCATAATGCGTGAAATCGTAGACCGTTTTTTTCCTGACAATTGGGTAATTAGCATTTACATGGGAATTGTATTGAATTTATGTGACTGGTGGTCTCCTTATAAAGCAGCTCGAATTGCACTTAATAATACTCTAGAAGCAGCTAATGTAAAAAAAATTGCACAAATGTATGGTATCAAAGTTCAGGTAATAATAATAATAATAAAAATAATTATCTGTAATGACATATATATATTTTATGACATTAAATTTCATTATTACATTCTTGTAGAAATTAATAACAGAAACTGAAAAATTACAACTAGCTGTAACTCTAGATGAAAATGAAATTGAATCTATTGTTAAATTAATACGTGAATGTAATGTATCACTACACTGGATATTACTACATACAACAGTACCAACAATATTACATGAAGAATCTAAACGAGTTCGATCTTTACGCCAACAAGTTATAAATGAAAGCAAATACACTATTGATAATTGTTTGAAATTATTACTCAGCACTGCACAAATTGAACACGATGTTAAACAAATGTATAAACAAATGTTGAAGGATAAAGAATCCAAATGGTCTGAGTATAAAAATAAATGTATACAACTTATTGACAATTTAATTGAAATATTTAGTCAAAATAATAAAAATTTTGACAGTGCTGACACTAATGAACGTTTAAAGATTTGGTTCAAAGAAATAAGTACGCATATTAATTCACTTCAACAAGAGGATGGGAAGAAAATAGCTCAATTGCTACAGGCATTAGAGGAAGTTCAGGAATTTCATCAATTAGAAAATAATTTACAAGTTTCTAAATATTTAATAGACACTAGAGAGATTTTATACATCATGCTACGTATCGGAAGCATTTCAGAAAGTACTATGATAGCTTTAAATATTTCAACAGATATTTGTTATGCTTGGAACATCATGGAAACTTTTATCGATGTCATGCAAACTAGTATTAAAAAAAATCCTCCAACTGTTGTTAAATTGAAAGCATTGTTTTCAAAAATGGCTTCTGCATTGGAAATGCCATTATTAAGAATCAATCAAGCTAAAAGTGCCGATTTGTCTTCTGTTTCACAATACTACAGCAGACAGCTTGAAAGTTATGCTCGAAGAGTTTTGCAAATAATTCCAGAAACTGTGTTTGGACTTTTAGCACAAATTGTTCACTTGGAAACGAATATTTTCAAAGAAATTCCAACCAAGTTGAATAAAGATATGCTTAAAGATTATGCTCAACTGAATGAACGTTTACAAATGGCTAAATTAACATATGCTGTATCAGTATTTACAAAAGGTGTTCTGTCTTTGAAAAGTGTATCACTAGGAGTACTGCGAGTTGATTCTAATCGATTACTAGAAGATGGAATACGCCAAGAGCTTGTTAAAAAAGTTACTCTCGCTCTGCAAAATGGTCTGACCTTTGATAATAAATCAAAAGTTTCTTTAGTTGATAAATTAAATGACTTGGCAGTTGTCATTGATGGATATCGGAAAGCTTTTCAGTATATACAAGATTATATTAATATAAATAGTTTAAAAATTTGGCATGAAGAAATAATTTATATTATTAATCTAGCTCTTGAAGATGAGTGTAAAAATTCAGCGCCTGAGAAATATAGCAAATTACATGATGAATCGAATTGTGAATTAAATGGAACTACTTTCATTGGAAGATTAACGAAGGAATTAATTCGTGTTACAGATCCTAGAAATACGGTTTATATTAAACACTCACTTGCATGGTATGATCTTAAAACACAAAATGAAGTTTTGAATCATAAAATTTTCTCGACAATTCTAGTGGCTATGGGAACACCGGGATTGTATGGAATTGATAAATTACTTTCTCATTATATTATTTTAGAGTTGAAGAATTTACACAGATTTTTAGAAGGTCTTGATAAAAATTGGTCACTAGTGGTTGGAGAATGTTTGACAATAATGAAAACCCATGAACTTCATACCAGTATGTCTTAATAAAAATACTCTTCTATTTAACTAATTACATCATCATATGATTATATTTAATTTTTATTTAATTTAGGTAATCCTGGCAAGCTTTACTCCATTTTATCTAATCATTCTAATAAAATGTGGCCATCTATGCTGGATTCTTTGTTAAAAATTGGCCATTATCAGTTACTAAGAAATAAAATTTGTTATGAACTTAATATTGCTTGTAAATTCGAAGCCAAGCATATGGAAAGTGCACTTCGAACTCTAAATACGTATGTAATAAATTTTATTTTATAATTATCAAAATATAATTTAACATTAATGGATATGAATTTGTTAAAAATTAGAGCAATACTCACAGAACTTGGAGGAAAATCTGATAACAGTTATAGTGGTCAGGAAGAAATGGATTTAATTAATAAACTCAGTGTTAGGCTAGATTGGACTGGAATCAGTGATCCACTGAATAAAAAATATATTAAATTATCTGATATCAGTCATTTAGATTTTACGCTTTTTTTATTCACGATTTTTTATCTTCATAAACTACAATTTTGTAAGAACACAGGTACATATTTATATATATCCAAAATGTTTATTAAATTTATTCTTTATAATAAAAATTTTTATCACTTTTATTCATTAATAATAAAAACATCGTCATGTTAGGAAAAAAATTTTAATCAATTAAATTTAATTTAAAAAAAAAAACAAATTTCTTTGTAATAAATTTGCATAAAATTACTTAACTTCAATTTCATCTTATCTTTAAGTAATTTGAATAAAATCTCTAGTTTATTTAGAAAAATCTATTTTTTTCCAGCAAGCTTGTTGAGTAAAAAAATTCAAGATCCAATCGATGCAGTGGTATTTTCAATTGGTATTCAAACGTTATCGAAACAATTTTCATCAGATATTTTTGATGATTATCTTTCATATCTTTGTAAATATGTATTACTATTCGTCGCTGTTGATAAGTAAGTTAAACAATTAATTGTTTTCATGTTATTAATCAAGAATATAAATAAATTTATTTTTTCAGTGGCAAACTTGGCAGTGAATGGGAATCTGAAGGATTAACTGTCTTACATTATCTTCATCTAGTCTGCAAAATTGCAAACATACCTAAATCAACCATACTTGATAAAATTCCAATAATTATTTTAGATCAGTATACAAAAAACAAGTAACTTTTAATATGAAATTGATCCAATAAATGTAACGAAATAAACATATCGGAAAATTTCATTATTTGAATAAATGAATCAATTAGGAAATAGAATAAAATGTAAAAAAAAAAAAACGTAGGCGAATTGTTACGCATTGGCGGCTGTTGATTACCATTACAGTAAGTATTTGCGGTAGGCGGCAATTCGGCGCCTTTCGGCGGCAATTGCGGTAACGCTAGTCACTGTCTTCATTGTACAAAAAGGACCCTCAATCGAATTGAATATTTAGTCGTATTATAAAAATTTGTTAGCTATTACTGGAATTTCTATTTATTTATTGGTAATTTTAGTGAATTATACTGTTTATTTCAACGTCACAAATGAAGCCTCGAAAAAAGGTTTTTTGTATTTCAATTGAATAATATTCTGTTTTATTAATTTTTTCAGCTTTACGCGATCAAATTAGGGTGTGACTATTATTTCTGTTTTAACTTTATAAAATAATTCAATTTGGACTTTATTATTTTATTATATATCAGTCATTTATTTCAATTTTTATTTTAAATTAATAGATTAATTTTTTTTTTATATAATAAAAATATTTGCTTGTTCCAAAGACATATGTTAAAAATAATTACAATAAAAATATTTATAGAAAATAATGAATCTTATGGTGGCAATTGTTGTAATACTCGTTGGACAACTCACGGTAGCACAAGACTCAAAATCAAGTCGTGATTCTTTGAATTTTATGAAACAACGTCCTAAAATACGAGAGTCCAGTAATTTTCGTCCTGAAACACTTGCAACGGCTGTTGGATTCGGAAAACGATCGAGTAATACTCCATTAGTGATGAATGAGAAACCGAAATATTTAATTATTTTACCACCTGTACAAGCTATTTATCAAAGGTAAGTCATATTATTTTCTATCAATGAATTTATAACAAATTAATTCAATTGTTAATTACTAAAATTATTATTTATTAGGATTCCGGCGTATTGGTATCCACGATATTCAAGAAGATCCATCAAATTACAAGAAAAAAAATCAAAAATCAGTACCAAGTATACACTGGTACCATTAAAAGTATTAAATTCGATATAAATGATTATTTTGTTGTCAATTTTTTGTTATAGTTGATTATAATAACACTGGCCAACGATGAAAATTTTTGTTTCAATTACTTTAGCTAATTTTTGTTTAATTTGGTGTGCTGATTATGAAAAAAATAATTAACAAGTCGTATCACCCACCAATTTCTTACAATTTAATATTGAATAAAATTAATTTGTATTAATTTTTAGCTATGCTAAAGATCCTTACAGTAAAACTTTACTTTGAAAATTTGTAACCCAATAACAAACAATATTTTTAATTTTTATTTATCTAATTTTTCTCTATTAAGTATTAACAACCATTTTTTTTGTTGGCCTGTGTAATTATTATTATTGATGATGGAAACAAATAATTTATAAAAATAAATTAATGAAGATATTTTTTTTTTTGTTAAAATAAGGATTAAGGGTGAAAGATATGACAACTGTATGTACATTTGAAATTACTACTTCTTAATTTTCCAACAATTTACAAACATCAACTAATTTACAATAATTTATGATCATTGATATTCTATTAGTAAATTTATTTACTACACAATAAGTTTCAACAAGAAAAAATTATTTCTATTAGCAAATTAATTTTAAAATGCATCAAGCTAAATTAATCTACACGCGTCTATACTATCATCAATTTAAATATTGTATATCACAGAAATTTCATTCTAGCGTTGTTGTTGTTGTTGTTTTTTTTTTGTTTTGTTTAAATATATTATATAGATGAAAAATACTTATTGCATACAAGCAGTTAACACAGACGCATTAGTGTTACTATTGCTTGCATATATAACATATACAAGGCACATTGTTGGATGCAGAAATTAGTGTTTTGAAAAATAATTTAATATTTATCTAGTTTAGTGAATAGATATTAATTTTATTAATTATTCCATCTATGTGTCTTAATTAATTATTATCTAATTTATTATCGTGCAATGATTTAAACAATAAATCAACTACCAAAAGATAAATAAAAACAACATGAATCTACAACTATATTTTGTTATTTAACTTTCAAAGTTTATGTATTTATATTTTATTTCTAAAATAACTTGACTAAACAAATATGTCACATTGCTTATTAATTCAACCATTAAAAGTATTCTAAAGCGGAAAAAGTTTATATGACAATAAATTTGTCAATAATTAAACAATATAAAATAATATATATATAAATATATATAATATGGAATATAAAAAATGAATGATTTATTTTAAAAACATCATTATTTTTCTTTTGATTAAAATGATTAATATTAAAATTTATAACTTAGAGTATAATATATAAAAATAAAAAAATATCAAGTTAATATAATTATTGTAATATAAACTCAGATATAAGAATAAATAATGATGAATAATTTTATTTCCTTTTTCGCTTTAGTATAAATAAAATTGTTCGTTTATTACGATAGTCGTCGATGAATTTCATGAGGAAGACGAGTAGAGCTGCTATCTGTTGAACTATCTCCAGTCCCAATGGATGTCTTTTTTTTATCTAAAGTAACATTACGTCGAGAAAATTTTCGGTTTTTAGTAGAACGGATATAAATATCTTGTAATTTTGGATTAATACGAGATTTTTCTTCAACCCTCACTGTTTTTTCAACATCTTTACTGCCTTTATTTTTATTATCACTTCCAATAATGGACTTTAATTGATTTTTATTTCCAGCTTTTTTATTCTTAAAACTTATCGATTCAACATTATTATTGCTTTGAAGTAGTGCTCCCAATATTTGATTATTAAGGAAAGAAGATTGACACATACGTATTGAATTAATATTAGGACTCGAATTATTATCGAGAATTAATTGTTCTGTATCACCATTAAATTCATTACTGTTGTAACACGTATTTCGGGTACTTTCAGCTTTTTTTAATATTGACTTAGCACGTTGATGACGATCACTAATATAAGACATTGTTGATTCACTATTTATTGAATCGACTGACATGGAAAGTTTATTTCCTCCTGTTCCTGAAATTGATTTAAAAAAAAAGGAAACCATATTTAGCTCTTGATTGATGATGATTTCTATGAGATGTTATTCATTCAGTAATAATAAAATTGTATTCAAGTTTTTCCATACAAAAGAAAAAGTTTTCATATTTTCATGTATTTAAAAAAAGAATTCTACTTTCCAAACCCATTAATTTTATTTTAGGAAAAAATAAGACCTATTAATAGATAAAAAGAAAAGAACGATAAACTGTGTGTATAAGTATTTTAACTGAAAATAAATATTTAACTTTAACTTTATTAATTTTTCTTTTAAAAATAAGTTTAATTTTAAATTGAAAAAATTTTGCTTCAAAAAATTGAAGAAATAAAATAGTATATTTTTATATAATTTAAATAAATAAATATAAATTCAGTCGTACAGTTTATGTATACTCTAGTAATCTTAATAATTACAAGATTAAAAATAAACAGATCTATTTAAGATTCAACAATTATAAAAAAAATTTATTTACAATAGTATATAAACTAATATTGCAAAAGTAATTCGGATCCAGCCAAATAACGTTAAATATAATATCTCTATTTATCTTTATAATAACTCATTCACTCTTCATATCATTCTTTTTATAATGCTCAATAGTCATTCTTTTACACAATTTTAATATTATTACTGAGCAAAAAGTCATTTTTGAGCATAACTAAAAAATAATCGCAACGTAAATAATTTATTAGAAAAGTCATTATTATAATTATTATTATTATTATTATTATTATTATTATTATTATGTGATAAAGCTATGACTCGCGTGCACAGCTAAATCTATATTTAATCTCTACAATTGAAGTATTTAGACCTCTTGAATCATTATTTGCAGCGATAAGTGTAACAATTTTTCCAATTTACATATATACATGATTTGCGTGTGAATATGTGTCATTTGCTAGTGATTCTAAATAAAGCTATCATATCATTCAAACGCATTTGTAATGTAAAAGTAATGTATTTTATCATAATTACTATAATAAAATATTCTAATCTAATCGCGAGAATGCAAAATAGCTATGAAAAATTTGTAATAATTCTATGATTGCAATAATGCGTGAACAGTGCCGTGCTTTATAACATTTTATCAATTTATACTTGTTAATTTCTTCACCTTACTTATTTGTTTAATTTATAATCTGCTTTTTTTTTTTTTTAATATCATTTCAACTATTGTTCAACAATAATTCTAGAGGAAAAGGAATCTACGCATTTTCCCTAAAATTCAAAGCAAGGAATGATATGTCAGTTTAAGTTGATCTAATTTTACAATGTATGTACATTGGATGATTAATTAGTTCTAATGAGAATATTTGCTTAACAATTAAAAAAGTGACTCAGTAATAAGCAGTGACTGCAGCATCCTTGAGCATGTGTGTAATTTTTCATTTACCAGAATATTGTTTAGAACCGCTCAGATTTCCAAATAGTTGCTGATTTATTAAACGTGTTGCTGATGTCAGACTTGCTAGTGATGTATTTGATGTATTTCCTATTAAAGGATGATTACTGCGAAGTCCTGGGTATAAATTATTATTATCTTCTAGGCCTTCTGTACGTTTCGTTGTATTTTCTGTACTTTTTTCTTGACTATCTATGGGGCTTATTGTTGGTCTACGTCCAGCACTCTAAAATTTAATATTTTTTAAAATTAAATTTACTTTAATAAAGAATTGTTTACAGTAATTATTTTTAATAAATTTAAAATATTTATTATTTGAATATATTTATAAAATAATTTGTTCTATGTAAAACGTACCTTAGTAACACGAATTTTCTTATGTTTTGGCAATGCTTCACTGGTGACAGTGGCCTTAACAAATTCATGCTGTTGAACTTGAACGCTCTTAGAGAATTCTGTGGTTGGAAATAGAGTCTGATCTACTGGCGATTTGTCAACGTCCATTTCTCGGCACTTATTATCTCTTCCTTCCAATGGATTTATGTAAAGATTGCTGTCAGCTTCATTAGTAGCATCATCATCACCTAAAAGTTCTTGCGAGTGAGATGGATGAGTTGGACATGTTGTGTATGTTTCAGAACTATCAACACTTTCACGTTCATTGTATGATTTTATAGGCTGCGATATTGTTGTTGATTCATTAGCAGTTATAGTTGTTGTTCGTGTTGGTGATGTAAATAAGTCACCAAATGCAGATGTATCAATGCTGCTCTCTCGAAGTGATTTCATTTCTTGACATACTGGATTTCGAAAATCACTTGTCGCCAGAGGCATTATATTTTCAGCGTCTCTGTAATCTTTATATTCCTATAAACAATAAATGAAATTTCATTATAATTAATTATTATAAATATTTATTTATAAACATATTAATAGACTTTATTCCCCTGAATAAAAATAATATGTCGTAATATTTAATTATCTTTCACTTTATTTTGTAATCAATCATAAATAATATATTAGGTTAATTAATCAACGTGACAATCTCTATGCCATTTAATTTTAATGATATGTATTATTATTATTTTATATGAATGTTATTATGGATACTATTAACAGTAAATACCTTCGTAGTGCAAAAGCAACACTCAAACTCACTAGGAAATTCATCAAGTTTTTCAAATTTTTTGGCATCTTTTTTTTCTTCGTCCTACAATAGTACAAATAATGGACATTTATTTACGTACTCTTGAATATTATTAATATTTCATTACAAACAATTGAACCTTTTTAGAAAAAAAAAAAATTATTATTACGTCTTGGCAGAATGGTTCAAATGTTTTCAATGAGATAAATAGCTAATAAAAATTAACCTTAAAATTGAACAAGCAGTAACTATTAAAAATAAACTAATGAATTTATTTAAATGTATATGTAGGGAGCCTGAGAAAGACTTTTGAACTAATCATGTTACAATAAAACTCATGTATCTATTCTATAGCAATAAAGAAAGTGCCACTTTATGTTGCAATATTACTTACCCTTTTAGTGGGTTAAATAATTATGTTAACAATAAAAATTCATATTAGGACAATTATTAATTCCATTAATATTATTTAAATTAGCAATAAATTATTTGCATGAATGATTGAACAATTTTTTAACTACAATGATGTCATTTATTGTTTAAATAGGTAAAGAAGGGAAATTCGTTTGAAATTATTTGAATAAAAATATCTAAAAAAAATAAACAGACAATGTTAATGAAAAAGAAAAATGATTTATTGAATGTTTTTTTTTGTTCATTTACAAATACGCCTGCCCTTCAGTAATTATTGCTAAAAGTATGATGGAATTAATTAAATATGCGTGCTATGAAAAGTATGATTGTGTACTCTCTAATCAGCTTTCCGTTTCATTGTGGAATGTTCCTCCATTATCCCACGTTCCAATTCACGTTTGTACATTGCGTAAATGAGGCACCATTGTCTGAAAAATAGCGACAATTACCGTTGATTTATTAATTTTGTTCTTCGATTTATTAACTTAATTGTTGAAAATCATCTGTACTATGTAAATTTTTTCTTTATAAAGCAGACAATTTTTTTTTACATCATTTTATATATAAATCATCATGTAACAATCATTAATCTACATTGGTTTATTACTAATGCGAAAAACCATTTATATTTTATACCACAATAAGTTGGCACTGATTCAATACAATCTTTATCTAGATATGCATGTTTATTCATCTCTAGATAAATGGCTGAGCTTTCTTATAAGTTCTCCAATTCTTCTCCTCAAATTACGTATTTTTTATTTGTTTTTTTTATGTAAAAAAAATTCATAAGTGTTGAGGAGAATGATATACAGGGAGGAAGACAGAGTTTGAAAATGGAAGTGCAGTAAAAATTGCATAATAAATTATTTTTTAGTGGAAGGCCCATGACAAGGACGCCCGCCATGACACTAAAAACTTATTTATTACATGATTATTACTGCACTTATACTTTCAAACTTTATCTTCCCCCCTGTACACCATTTTTGTAAATAAATTACTGTAAATATTTTTTACATAAAAAAAAACGAATAAAAATTACGTAATTTTACAAACAAAATTTAAAGTGATTTGAGGTTAGAAAAGCCCAGCTTTCAAACGTTCAGAAATATATACATTTACGTGTATATATTTAAGAACTATTTGTTGAAAATATTATATACATATAAAAGAAAAAAAAAATAACAATTTAAACTCAATAGCCAATCACAAATAATATAATACAAAAAAATAAAGCAAAAAATATTAATAATCTATTGATAATAATTATAAATGACCACTTTTAAAATTATTTGCATCATTATTCAGTCATCACAATATTTTTCACTGATTGTACTAAAATAACTATGAGCATTTTGCCAAGAATTTAACAATGAATTCTTTGAGTCAATGCTTAGTTAGTAAAATCGTTAAACATTCATTAAAAAACTTTAAAAAATATTGTGCTTTTTTTTTATCTTAATTACTTTAATTATATTTTTAAAAAATAAATTAATATTAATTCTACATTATACTAGTAGTTTATATAAAAATGACAATTTTTTAAAATTAATTACATGATATTATTTATGAGAAATAAAATGATAATTTAACTACCAAGTGGCACATTCTTAGCTTCACTATAAAAATTAGCGAAGAAGTAAAATAGCGATAAAAATTTTTAGCAAATAAACATTATATAAACGCATAACATCATCAACACTGAATAATATGAATATTTATTAGGCATTATTTAATAGATAAAAAAAAAGTGTGCACAAAATATATATATAATTATTAAGATGATTAAAAGTTTATCCATTGCCTTTGAGTTTTATTTACATTATTGTCTTTCGGGCTCCTAAAACTTTAAACAATTGTAAGAAAAATGAAATTTGATGACAATGCGTATTTTATATCTAAACTATTATTTTAAATAAATAATTAAAGACATGATAATATTAATATTATTAATAAAATCGAATTATATTATTTATATTATCATATCTTTAGCTGATTAATTAAATCTACTACTAGTATTATGTGAGTAAATTAATTTCTATAAATAAAGCAAATATAGTTAGTACAAAGATTATTGAGAAAAATATTGTTAGGATTAATAGAATTTTCTTTTGAAGTATCCATCAATAATTTATTACAAATAATTATCATTAATCTATCGTTCAATAGATAAACAAAATGAAATATATTTTATTAATACTTACGCACAATAAAATTTTTTACAAACCATGGAAAAATTAATTATTCAATAAAAGGTCCAGTAAAAATATAGATAGTTAATAATGAAATAAAAATATTTGATTAAAATAACAAAATATTTTAAAAATAATAATATATTCTCCGAGTTGTTGTGCATAATTTAATCAATCACTTATTTAACACTAAAAAAAAAAACTAAAGCCACATTAATATAAATAAAATGTAAAATAACTTACACTTGGTGTTGTATTGCCTTGATTTGAATGCTGGGCAAGTAATTCATCATGATAGTAATCATCATTCTGATTACCAGGAATATTTTGTGCAAAGTCAAGAAGTCTTCGATTTGGACTGTCAGGTGTTGTTGGTACATCGCTAGAATTTGGTGGAAAGGAAGAAGAGGCACTTCTGCGCTGACGAGCCGTACTATAATGTTCAAAATTACGATAACATCCTGGTCCAGTTTGAGCTGGTCCACGTCCACATGTTGACTCGCCTTCAGTACTATTGCCATCAACTCCTGACATATAAGTTTGATATAATTTAATCAAGATTATTTCCACGATTAATTATAATTTAACAGAAAGAGGGTTTCTAAGAGCTATTCTCGTTGAAATTTATTGGCGGTCACCCTTAAAAAAAATTATTTTACGACGCAGTGTTTTTCATCTTTCTTAGATGTTTGACTGTATTTTTACTGAATATTAATCAATAACAATTTTTTTAGGGGTGCACGCCATTTAGAAGGCTCAATTTTACCACCCCCAGCAACCCCAACCCCAAATGAGAGTGGGGTTGACATTCTATACAATTACCGATATAAACACTAAATGTCACTATAAAATAACTAGATCTAAGTCAAATTGATTGTAATTTTATTGAAATAATTGCAAGCATGTGTATTAATAATGAAACAAAATAATATAAATAATAGAATGAAGATTTGGATGAGTATTAAACTGAAGGGGTAAGTCTTACCCGTGTCAACAATGACGTCAATAAGATCCATACTTTTGGCGAATGCATCTCTTAGATTGATATGATGAAATGAAACAATGCTCCCTTCGCGTTTAGCTCTTTCAAGAGCCTCCCTGCGTTTAAGTGCTTTTTCGCGTCTCATCTGGTTTTTGTAGAACTCAGCAAAATTATTGACGATAATGGGAATAGGCAACGCAATTACCAGGACACCACATATACAACATACACTGCCAATCACTTTTCCAAGAGGAGTCGTAGGATAAATGTCTCCGTAACCTACAGTTGTCATGGTGATTCCTGCCCACCAAAACGTCTCCGGAATGCTTATAAATTTGGTCCCGGGCTCTTCTTTCTCCGCGAAGTATGCAAGGCTCGAGAATATAAGTACTCCCATGGCCAAAAAGAGCATCAAGAGCCCGAGTTCTTTGTACGAATTGCGTAGGGTAAATCCAAGACTTTGTAACCCGGTCGAGTGACGCGCAAGTTTTAATATTCTTAATATTCGCATTATACGAAATATTTGAACAACGCGACGGACATCTTGAAATTGGTCAGTCGCATTTTTATTTGTTTCAACGAGAAACAGTGATACAAAGTATGGTATGATTGCAAGTAAGTCAATGACATTGAGACCGCCTTTGAAAAACTTCCACTTGTTTGGTGACGCACTGAATCTAAGCACGTACTCAAGCGTAAACCATGTGATGCAAACAACCTCCACCATCGCGAGTTGTGGATTATCTTGAATGTTTCCCTTTTCATCATTTACTTGCATACTAGGAATGGTGTTGAGTGTAAGTGCAATCGTTGACAGTACAATAAATAGTATTGATATCACAGCTATCACCTGGAATGCATGTTAATTTTCATCAGATCCAAATGTTGTTATTCAATCCAACTGTTTATGTTTCTCTCATTTTTTAAAATCTTGTTATTTATTTGCTCATTCGACCTGGATTTACCAACTGGCCTAGCATAACTTCGCGGACATGTGTCATTTATCAAACTGCATTCTAGATACGAATTGAAGCATTTTCAATCATCTCTATCAGGTATCCTTTTTAGCACGTAGTATTTTTTCTACGACCACCTCACACGTTCTTTTCTTTTATTTTTTATTATTTAGCTTCGTAGAGTGTTTACATTACTGTATATTACCTTAACGTTTCTCGTGTTCAAATTTTCATTCTTTTCTTACTTATTTTTTTTTAATATCAATGTATAGCAATATATAAATATACACACATATATATTTATTATTATTGATAATAATAATATATATGTGTATATAAAATAATTTTTACAAAACAAATTGCCATGAAAGCGTTAAAAGCAATACACAGCCGACCCAAAATTATTCATAATTATTTGATCTATTAAAACTATTTAAATTATAAAAATGAACACAAGCATATTTAGATATGCATTACACATATATATGCATTAATATAAGTGTCATCGCCATTATCATTCATTTATTTTATTAATATTACAAACTTAATTTTTCAATGAATAATTAAAGCAACGAAAAGTAATTGCAAAAATTTACAAGCTTCTAAATAACACTAAGAAAAAAATTTTTATTCAACCCTCGAAGCACACAGGGGGTCATCTAGACCCTAAATATTTTGAAATAAATAGAAAAATTCGACACACCTGGTGTTTAGTTCGGTAGATCTAATTTTACTCTAAATGCATATTAGTTACGGTCATTTGTCTGCCTTGTTTAGTATTGTTGTAATGGTCAAACAAAAAGGACCTGAGGTTCACTGACCTCAGTGTAAAATAAGATAATTATACTTTTTCCATATAAACGAAAATAAATAAACTGGTTAACATCTCGACATTTTTTTCTTCAAAACTCTTAAACTGTTTTTTAAATGTATGTTTAACATTCATATGTTTTTTTTTAGCAAAAAAAGGTTATTTTAAAAAACAGCTTTAACTTTTAAGTTTTCGTTAACCAATGATGATTGTATTCAAAATTACATCGTTTTAGCTCTAAAAAACATTATGACCTAAATTCCAAAACATTGTATAGTTTTTGAGAAATAAAATGGGGTTAATTTGACCCCATGAGTGCTCCGAAGTTTTGTTCAGAGATGAATGCTCTGAGGATTAATTAAATAATTTATTATTAAATTTAACAGTTAAATATCAAATGTCAATGATAATAATATTTTTTTCTCAGTGTATATTTTTTTTTTTTTTTCATCAAAATTCCGTAGAAACATTAAATAGAAGTAAACATTGAAATTCATTTTTCAAAATACAATTATTTGAAGCAAGGCTTTCATTATAACATTTTATTCCCAATGATGAATAATCTTGGAAAACATAACTAAATCACTCTCATCGAAGCTTAATAAAAAAAAAAACAATAAATTTTTACCCAATCACGCAATCATTGTTCATTCACTCACATTCGAATAACAATATTATATGATTATCAAAACGATTAATTATCACTAATGAATATTTCAGTCATTAATGGCAATACATTAATCAAATAAATAATCGTAAGTGCTAATTAATCATTTATCATTTAAAATCATATAAATAATGTTTTTTACATTCAAAATAACTTGGCTCTGTCAATTCAAACATATAAAAAATATATACAACAATTTATAATAAACTAAAATATAAATAAGATAATATTTAATATTATTTATAATAAACAAAACAGTAGAAAAATAAAAAAGTCTAATTATTTTTTGATTTTTATAAATAAATTTAATTAAAAGTTATATTAAAGAGCCTTCACCAACACATCATCAATGTCTATTCAAGATCCCGTTCCTTGAACCTACAAGCAATCGTGAATATTTGTTTAATAATAAAAAAAAAATATTTTTTATGCAATCATTTCTTTATGACATAAAAAATAATTTATTTACATTTATACATAAGTTAATTTGTTTAATAAACACGATTACTTTTTGCAGGGAGCGGTAACGAGAACAGACGAACGTGATACCTGGTAATCGCGATTTAAACCCTTCCATTATCACTGGGATTATTAAATATAAATAATTATAATTACTTTGTTTAAACGAAAAAAATATACCTATATACATATTGATATGTATAAGGTTTGCTTATAATAAGAGAAAAGCTGTAGTTTATACAAGTATACAAGTATATAATCAGGACGAATTTTGCAGCACCTAGAAATAAATTACACATTACAATACAACATTAATTATAAAAAATCAGCTGATATAAAAGTATCCCCTGCAAAAAGCATTTTGCTTTAATAATTAAAGCATTTCTAGTACATAATTATATATATAGATATATATTAAACCCAAATTGCTGCATGATTTTTTATTTAATTTAATTAATTTATTTTTAGTAGTTAATGTTGAAGTAATTATGCAAATGGAGAATTTGTAAAATAGTATACATTGTTATTGTTAAAATTTTATCTTTATCTCATGTATTATGTTTTCAATCACGCTGCAAAGGATTGAAGAACTAAATAAAAACTGAATAACATGAATTATAAAATATTCAAGTATCAAGAGTGTTGCGCAGTATGCAGAAAAGTATTTTGGCTAGCGTATGCTGAAATTGTTGTTGCTTTTAAAGTGTGAACAAGACATGAAGAAGCAGCAAAAAAAAACAAGAGTATTGCTAGCATAAAATATTACTGAAAGTTATAATATAAAAGTGTTATCAATAAAAAATTTGTAGTTTCTAGACTGTTTTGTTTTTTACATTTAACAGAATAAAAAATAAATATATTAAAAAAATTACGTTTATGTAGATAGTGATTGGAGTATATGTTAATTGGTAATTGTTATATTTTACAAATATGGATAAATTGAATCCGATTTTACTGAAATAGTTGTAATCCTTTTGAAAATGATTGTTGAATTACTATATTATTTAATCATCATTTGTTTGTTTAAAATAATATTACCTACAATTCATACAAACTCACCCTAGCACCAATGGATGTGGTTGGTTTTTCGAGCAAGTCCCACAGCCACTTTTGATATTGTGCACATTTGCCGTCCCCGAATTCCTCCTCCTCTCTTTGCCGCAATGACTCAGCCTCCTTCCTCATCTCCTCATGTACATTTTCTTTTCTTTGATGATACTTGTGCTGACAACAACTCTCCAAGTATAATTCATCAACCCCCCAATATTCAAGATCATCGCTAAACGCTAAAACGCACATCTCGTCAACGAGATGAAGTTTGCCGGTACGATAAAAATTTAATATCGAACTAAATGACTTTGGATGACGATCAAAAAAATATTCATTATCAATAAGGGAATAATCATCACAGAGTTCAGTAATAGCCTCATGTGTATTACAATCTCGAAGTCGTCCAAGTCGTGTATGTGGTAATCTTTCTAATGTTTGCCACAATACTTCATGTTTAACTCCGCCAACATTTATGGAAACCCGCCTATTCAGAGCCTTTGATCTCATGATCATAAAAGGCTCTGGTGGCAGTGAGGTCATGGATCGGGAGTAAGCCCGTTGCTGCATCTGAAGAGGAAGAGGAAGTGGTGGTGGCGGCGGCGGGGGCGGTGGTGGTAGTGGCGATGATATTGCCGAATTAATACTGGTGAATGGAGCATAACGGACTTCCTTGCTCGAACCAACTCCTCCAGTTGTATTTGTTGCTGTTGCTGCCGCTGTTGATGATACATTTGTTCCACTATCGAAGCCAAATCCATCATTTGTTGTTGCCGCGGAATATGAACCTGAACACATGTTCGGTAAAAATCCATTTCCATTGCGGTCCGGATCCACGCCCGCGTCGTCTTCGTATTTTTTATCGTTCAGCATCAGATGAACGTTTTTTAGTTTACGGCCTCAGGGTAACCACAAATCAACTAGCGGCCAGCCTGATTTAGTCAGGCTTTCATCCGTCAGCACAGCACCTCTCCGCCACCGTCAACAATGTGGCTCTGAGCCACCTCATAATCTGAAATTATTTTTAATTATTAGTCAATACTAATTAATTAGATTTTTTAGAGGGTTTTTGTCATTAGTTAACCTCATCATTAATTTTCCCTCTTAAACATCCGTCAAATGCGACTAATAGCACTAAAGCACTAAAAAAAAAATACATTCCAAAACTATTAAAATATTACAGATAATTCTTTACATATTATTATGCATGTTTTGAGAATAGTTTTTATATTAAACCCGTTAGAAAACGAAAATTGTACGAGTACTAAAATTTACTAGCAAAACAAAAATTAAAAGTTACTAGGTTTTTTTTTTAGTAAAAATAACTGAAAAAGGTTAGTAAAAAGTACTGTTCTAGTTGGTAAAAATTACCAAAAAAGTCCTATTTTGGTCATTTTTACCTAGTTAATTTACAGTAAAATTTACTAGCAAAAAAAAATCAAAAATTACTAAATAGCCAAAAAATTTAGTAAAAAGTCCTATTTTAATTGGTAATAATTAATAATAAAAAATACTGTTCAGGTGGATAAAAATTACCATATTATAAATTTTTACTACTTTTTGAGTAATTTTTACTAAACAAAATTACTGTAAATTGCCTATATTGTAAATTACTGTATAATTTTATTCGTGTACTAATATCCAAGCTTTCTTATACTTTCTCCAATTTCGTCTATTTCAAATTACATTTATAGTAAACATAGATATAATCATTCAATACTTTGTTAATTTATTCTAGAACATTATTATCTGATTACTTATAACCATACACTTATCGTACTACAGTTATAACTGGTCTTAACACGATCAGGACTTCCTGATAGGGTTCTACACACTGGGTAGACCTACCCTTGAACTAGTTTCTATAATTACGTCATTACTTAACGAATTATAACATATTTTTATCCTTAAATCAATATTTTACTTCGTTACTCTTTTTTAGATGAATTACTAACCCACCAAGCACACCAAGAGAGTATAAAAATATATATAAATATACACATTTCTAATAAATAAAAATATTATTAATAGACAGAATCCAAAATAAAAATAAGCCAAAAAACGACTCCATAGTTTTATAAAATTATATCAAGTAAAGTAAACTGAATGTCCATAAATATCTATATCACACATCAATCATTATCATGTCGAAATGCTGTCCAGATATGATGATATTTTTTGACCAATAAACAATTTGTTCTACTCTCATCTGTATTTTTTTTTATAGCGCATGATCTTGGCGTAGAATCAAATACTGGTTCATTCGTTTTCGGGTCATAAATTTCGTAGCCTGACATTCTACTACTTACAAAGTGCACACACTGAAATAAGATTTTTATTCGACAATTCATTGTCAATCCTAATTTTTAGAATATACTCAAAATTACCATGTCACATCATAAAATATAAATATAATTAATTACAATTTACATCTAAACATTTAAAATATCAATATTGAAATAAATTCATTAACAATTTATTTATTAATGACTACAAGACTTCAAAAGTTTTACCTTGAATGACAATGTTATTTTTATCACTAGGTTTTATTCTCTGAAGCATTCATAGATTTTTATTACTTAATAACAATAAAAACTAACTTTTATGTGACTTTATACTATGAAATATCTAAGTCAGACTTTATAGAGAAATAAAAGAATAGATAAGTTGAAACGATAGTCATATTTGTAACTATTCACCACAAAGTAGTAAAGAAGGGTATTATATTGCCTAATCTATTCAACCACTTATACCATCACTGTCTAATACTACAACTTTTACTACTATTATCCTACGATATATGCACATACAATAGGAATAGCAGTACAGACAGCCGCAACGTCATTAAGGGTGGTGGCCTACTGCCCCAAATAGGGCGGGTTCAACGTTTCAACCCTACAAGGCCAGAAAGAGATACTTTGATTTCTACTCTTAAAAATGAAACTATTCAAAAAAATGTCAATCCAATTTTATTACTTAAAAAGAAACTCCTACTTTACTATTAAATTTCAAATACTTTGTGATAAATATCAGAAAAATTTTGAGTATTAAAAATGTAAATCGAATTTTTATTTTTCTAGTGAAATGTGGTAAGAGAACAGACATGTACAGGCCTGGAAGCTCTCGACGATGCGATTGGTTCTATAGTATAATCGATTTTTGTCCTTATTTGAACATTTATCCATGAAAAATATAATAGAAAAAAGTTTGATAATATAATAAATAATTAATTTTCTATAAGACTATTATCTATTATATTTCAACATGCTCTTGATTATTGATTTAATTACAAAGCTTTCTAAAAGTAACAAAAAAATAAGGATGATATTTGAAATTTAGTGTATTGAATACTGCGCGATCACCGTACTTCAGAACGTTCTGTATTTATGTACATGTCATTGTTGTATCAGCATGTTTACAGATTATAAATAAAATAATATCAAAAATAAAAGAATAAATTGTTTTCATTGCATTAGTTTGCTGACAATGTTTTGATAAATTAAAAAGGCAAAATACATAAAAGGACATGCACATATCTAAATGAACTCTCTCACTTGAATATCAATTATTGAAGTGTTATTGGAAAACTTTAACATCCTGTGTCTCTCACCTTTTTAAGAAAAACTCGTTGGTGTCTCTGTTTGATTCGTACTCAATACGTCACACTCTCGTAAGCTCAACATATTTCGTCACAAGTAAACTATCAACGTTCTAGTCGGAGCTTGCGAAACGTGCTTTACCACTTGTTTCATGGGCGCTGCGAGCAACGAGGATTTGCTTCACTATTGATTGCCATGTGTGCCCCTTAAAACTACGTTTACCACGCGCTTTAATTGTATTTTTTTTTTCCTTCACTATTGATTAATCACAAGCTTTCAAAATACACTTAGACTATGAGTAACGAATCTAGCAGAACATAACAATTAAAAACAATACAGCTTAGCGAACACTTTAATTTTGGTCAAGGAAGCAGAGCTTGTAATCCCCGAGGACGGGATGACTGTGAGACTGAATCGCTCAGCTGCTCTTACTGCTGCTGGCTTCATGTTTGTGACGGAGCGCTATTTGGATATGAGCCAGTAATGCGCTTGCTTGGTCGATATAGTCAACAACTCTGCTACTATCTTGATACCGAACACCTTCACCCCATATTCTAGATGAATTTGATTGGGTTTTAAGTGATTAATATTAACTAAATTCATCACTGTCTCCATGACACTAATACATCATCAGTTCGATATCGTTGTACACATGTTGTTTCCAACCAAGGGGTTGCTTTTCCACTTTTGTATTGAAGTAATCCGGCAACAGCAATCATCACACCATTGTCTATACAAAACCGCTCATCGGTAGCATATAAAATAGCTTTTCTTTCTTTGCACATTATATTCATCATCTCTTGAAGTCTTTCATTACAACCAACTCCACCGACAATCAAAACCTCTGATGAACCTACATGAGCCATTGCTCGTTCTGTAATTACGATTTAATTACAATTTATAGAATATGTTTATCATAAAAAAATTATGAAAAATTTCGAATAAATTTTGATACCTGTTATTTCTATAAGCATTGAAAATGTTGTTTCTTGTAATGAAAAACATAAATCCTCTTTTGTGTATTTATTAGAGTTGAGCCAATCATCTAAACGTTCTTCAATGTGTGATAAAATTCCTGAGAATGATACATCCATGCCTTTTACAGTGTATGGTAAAGATGCTAATTTTGTTCCTCTATGAATACAAAATTAAATTCACTACTTTAAAATATATTTGAAAATAATAATAACATAAATTTCAGATATAAGACATGTAATTACTTTTTTGCCATTTGCTCGATATTATAACCAGGACTAGGATCATTGGAGAGTTTTAGCAATCTAGCAAATCTATCCAGACAATTTCCAACAGCTATATCAATTGTTTCACCAAAAATTCTGTATCTCTGCCTAGAGTAGGCAATTATTTGTGTATTTCCCCCAGAGACATATAAAATTACAGGGTTATCACTGCCAGTAATTAATTTTCCCATTTCAATATGACCTATACAATGGTTGACTGCTATTATTGGTTTGTTATACAGTTGAGCAACTGTTCTAGCAACAATAGCAAGTACAGTTAATGGTGCACCCATTCCTGGACCTTTTGTATAACAAATTATATCAATATCATTCATCGTTAATTTTGCATCATGTAAAGCTTGTTTTAGTACTTCAAGTACGTGGGCTCGATGATGGATCGCTGTTTCTTTCGGTAAAAATCCTATTAATAATAATTATAAATAATGTTTGAAATATTGTATTATAAAATTTGTTGTATTTGAATAAGCGCATTTTTTCTTTTCTCATTTTATATGCTTATAAAAAAAGATCATACCTTCACCGGGGGGAGTAATATACGTGTGTCTTACATTTGATAATATTGTATTATCACGAATGATCCCTATACCCAGCTTATTGGCACTACCTTCAAAACCAATTGCTATGACCATGTTTATTTTTAAATAAATTACTTTTTTTTTTAGTGTTTATTTTGGCTATTACAAATACTTGCACGTGGTTTTAAAAAATTTCTCAATGACGAGATAGAAGAAGCTTTAAATTGAATTTTATATAGAAGAGAAATAAAATAAAATTTTATATTATGTGGTTATTCTTGAAAGCTTCTCGAAAATACTAATTTTACTTACCGACGCTATTTAGGTTATCGATATGGAACTGGTAACACACTATAGGTTAAGTTTGAAATAGGTTATGTAGTTTCGAATCTCTGACGTGATTTTTCATCGTCGTTGAACACACTGACGAACAATCTCCTGGTGATCCTCAAAATTGTGATGAATTTTGTGTCACTACTGAATTGATACGTGAAAGATTTGTAGCAGAGAAATGCAAAGTAGATGATTGCCGGAGTGAAAATAAACGTGAGTGACTGTAAATATCGAAATATTGGTCGCGTGCTCGTCGGGATTTGATTGAGCTTTACAAAGTTATCGTTACATATTTTTCGAAGCTAATTGATTCTCAAGGCACAGCCATATGACGTGAAGCGGTGTCTAGTCAAACATACATTATATGACGCCTAGGCATATGCATGCAAGTTGTTTGAGATACTACGGATATTAATTGTTTATTGTTTGTCTACCTTGGTTTATCAGAAGAAAACAGTTTGAGTGAACTAAAATCATACGCGTTATAAAACATTATTGTGTAAACTAAAATATCGTTATTAACTTTTTTTGTTTTTTTTTTGTTCTTTTATTATTATTAAATTTATTGATCTTCTTTACCTGATTATCGGGATATTATTAATTTTGTAGTCAGCTTTTAAAGACTTCCTAAGCAATAATGGAGGATATTTTGACGTTTCAATTGATGATTGTCTTGAAGATGATCTGCTACGACGCGCTTTATCTGTACTCCGTGATTATGATGATTATGTGCCATGCAATCCATGTTTATAAAATCGGAACTTGATCACAATAATGATTATAGCGAACCATTTTTGGTTTGCTTGGTTTGTGATCTAATGCCAATATTTTTTGGCGGGATTTCAATATTTTTTTGGATGATTGCGTAGGCGAAAGATCGGTCAATTAATGAAATACATTACCCGGATGTAATGCTAAATTATTCGTTGTTATCTGGATCACTAAAAAAAAAAAATGTACATTAAAAGAAATAAGAATAACGTAATGTTAATCGTACAAAAAATATTAAAAAATATAGAACCTTCGCGTCATTCGCGTATTAATAACGAAAATCGGCAGAGGCTAAAACCTCTCACGAATGAATGGTTCTTATTATCGTTTCGGATGGTCAATCGTGTCAATGAGAACTAACGTGTCTTCACTACTCTCGCAGGCGACTAGAAGCTGATTATTCAACCACCATCATTTTTATCACTCATTAAATTATCGCACAAACGGTAAATATATTTATTAATTAACTAGTTTATTTAATAAAATGATTTTTTAATAAAAAATGTTATTTTATATTTAGACAATGTCACGAGATTACGAGAGCCGGCGACGCAGTAGTACCAGTGGATCCAGCAAAATGCGAATGGACACGAGTGTATCACAATCTAGACCACACACAGAGACGTCATCAAATAAACGTAAAGAGATAGATAGCGTGATGCGGAAGGCACGTGAATCACAGTCAAGTTATTGGAATAAAAAATTACTCGAAGCTGAAGAACGTGATCCTAATCGATGGCGTCATAGTGGCTACAAAGAATTGTATGTTGGTGGCACAAACAGTGGAGAGACAAGCAGAAGCCATCCAAGAAGCCCAAAAAGTCCTCGTCCACGCAGTCCTCATAGTCCTCGTGCCCGTAGTCCAAAGTCACCACGAGAACGTACACACACAAGGACCAGACCGGCGCGAAGTCCGAGCTCCGGAAGCACCTGCTCGGATCGCTCGTGTTCCGTTTGTTCACCGAGGGAACGTCGTCGCGTTGTACCGCAATCACGTTCTCGATCGAGATCGATATCGCCCGTACGACAACGAGCACACCCGAAGGAAATAGTCGCGTCGAGTTCGCGGGCGGTAGTACCTCGTACAAAACCGAGGCCACCACCACCGATGCCGCGGCCGCGTACACCACCACCAGAACCACTGCCACCGTCCAAACATCAAAAGGAATATAAGGTTCTTAAGGAAAAAGAATCTACCAGGACACGTCGCAAGGAAAAACATCAGAGCAGCAGTAGGGTTCCTGAAGATCCCAGAGTTTCTGAACCTATTCCATTGGTAATCATCACTTGGTTCCAAAACCAGGAGATGTTTAAGCAATATTAAATTTATATTTCAGTAGCATAGTCAACTTGTAAACTATAATGCAATTAATTATTTTTTTATCGATTAAATAAAATATGTTTTATAAATTTTTTATTTTTTAATAGATGCGGAAGCCTGTGAAAATTGAAAAAACTCATTCAAGTCATTCACAAACATCAACTCATATTCATCCACCACCAGCAGAATCATCATGTAGTGAAGATAGTGATACTTCGTCTAATGTTTCTCAAGTTGGTCCACCGAGGATGACATTATCTGAAAGGTAACAATTATTATCATAATCTTTTTATGATTTATTTATCTGTAACTCAGATCACTGTCCCAATTGTCACTCATGAACCTATTCTTGCTCAGTAAACTTAAAAATAATTATTTCTTCCCTGGAGGATACATAATTATATTTTCTAATGGTTTTCTAAGATACCAAGACATTTTTCAAGATCAACATTCCTGCCAAAGAATATTTTTTTATTACAAAATAAAATTTACTGAGCAAGAATAGGTTTATGAGCAACAATGGGGGCATTGACTTTATATTATTTTATCTACAATTAAAATGTCTCTTTTAAATTAGATTTGGAAAAATGGCACAATGGAGTGTTGACAGACGAGACATGGAGAACATGCGTATTACAAAAGACGGTGAAAATGCAATGAAAGTTGTAATCGAAGGTGAAGAAAGAGCAGCTCGCTTAGGATATGATTCACCACCTCCAGGTCATTATCCCGAAACTCTTCTTGCTCAAGGACCGAGAGGACTTGACTGTTGGGATGATGTACGAGTTAGATATGATTATTACAAAGCTCGAGGGTATCTTCGAGATTTAACTCTTGATGATTATGTCAAATGGGAGGAATGGTGGTACAAATATCAAGAATGGCTAGAAGCTGAACGCTACTATGAACAATGGGCTACATCAGGTGGACATCGTCCTGGTGGTGGAAGAAAACGCCGTGGAAGACGCAATAATGTTAATCATTAAAAAGTTCTTATCATTTCAAATATATAGCTTTTCGATGTCGTGTCATTTAATGTCATTAAAAAAAATACATGAGTTAACTTCAATCTTCCTTATGCTTAATTAAAATATTCATTGTTAAGTAATAATGCTGTATAAAGCAGTACCCTATATTTGAATATATAAGTCTCTAGTAAATTAGATATATATATATATATATATAATAAATGTACTAAAAAAAAATTTGTGCTGTACTGAAATACTTTTGAAATCTAAAATTAAAATTTATTAAAATTGGGAGAAAAATATAGCGCTCACATGTGAACGACCGCAATAAAAAAAATGTACCGGGCCGCCATCTTCTGGAGAATATCAAATTTTAAGGTTATGAAATTTTAGTTTGGAATTTAAAAATTTTATAGAGGGAGTCATTTAATCAATACGCTAAATGTAGCTTCTGTAACCATTTTACTATACATAATATTTATTTACCTTGTATGTATATAACATATGTGTTCTTTTGTACATATGTACTACATAAAAGTGTAGATAGTTGTAGTTTATGGATAGGGAGAAAGAATTTCACAAAGATGCTCATGATCGCGTCGGATTCATTGCTATTGTTATACTAATAAACTGATTTTAAAAAGTTTTTTTTTTCTTTATGGAATTTTTAAAGAGTTTTTCGAAGCAGTGCGACAATTTATGTAATAAAAAACACAAAAAAATTGAGTTATTTCAAAAAAGTGCATATTTGTGTATAGGAGTGCATTTTTTAGATTGATATTTAATTACAAATATATTATTACTAATTAAATATTTATATTATATATAAATATATCGAAAAAATTTTTTTATTAATGCAAGAACATTCGATTATTTTAATTTATTATTTAAATTAAATTTGAAAGATTATTGATGAGAAATAATAATTGACAAAAAATTGATATAATTTTTTAAAAATGTCGGCTGCTGATACTACAGTTATTTTTGCCAAACTAGAAGCTCTCAAAGATATCAGGTATGTTTGTAGATACCCATAATGATGCATGAATAGTCCATAAAGCATATTAGTCTATTTAAAAATTAGTCTTCTAAAAAAAAAAGCCATACTAAAAATATTAACTCCAAAAGTTTGATGCATTTAGAAAACTTTGTGTCCCTTCCTGCTTCTTTCTGCTGGTTATTTAAAATATTTTGAGTTCAGGCAATTTATAAATATCTTTAAAATTTAATACGAAAGATTCCTAATGATTCTTAAATAAATAGATTTTTCCCCAATTAACATTATTGAATGTTTTTTGTGAACTGTTTATTTAGAAGAAGTTAATAAAAATAAATAAAACTACTTTATAATTTTAGATCAAAGACACTTCAATTAGAGAAAATGAAGCAGCGAATTATTCAAGAAGTTGAGCAAACAGAACAAGAAGATAAATGTTTAATGGAATACAAACAAGAAATGGATTTATTGATGCAAGAAAAAATGGCTCATGTTGAAGAGTTACGTCAAATACATGCTGATATCAATGCAGTAAGAATCAATATTCTACAAAGAATTGATTTATTTTAAACATGAGTTGTAAATAAGACGGTTATTTTTTAGATGGAGTCAGTGATAAAACAAGCTGAAGAAGCTAGAAATCGTGCCCGAGAACACGCAAAATTAATTCATAATAACGAATATCAGCCACTTAAGCATGACATTGATCGAATGCGCCGAGAGTATTTGGGTCTGGAAAGACTACCAGAGCTTTATGAAACCGAGACTGATTTAATTGCACCTGAGTAAGTATTTCATTTTAAAATCCATGAGAAAAATAATTCTTATGTTCGTTATTATTAATATGAAATTAATTTTTGTAGTTATTTTGATAGACCAATGCAGAAAGCAGAATGGCGTGTGGAAGTACGTGGAGAGGATCTTATGCCGCCGTTGAGTTTGCACAGTCATCCAGGACATCCAGGTGGTTCAACACCATTTTTAGCTCCACAACCTCTTCAAGGACCAAGTAAACCCGAACCAAGACCTTTGCCACCAGCGACTGGTCCTCCCGCTCCAACATTCAGGTACCACTGGTATAACTCAATTTCATATCATTTTTTCTTAAATTTTTCATCCACCAACGGAAGTAATATCATATTAATATTTAACTTTGTTATCCAAGACGAACAAATAAATTAAAACTTGTATTTTATTGATTAATTAGGATGTTATGAAGTAGTAAAGTACTAGTAAATAAGTTATTTATTAATTGATAAACTTTCCAAGTGGATAAAATTCAAATTATTTGGTTAAAAAACATGTTATAATAATTATTTTAGGCAACAACCACCACCCATGAAATCTTGTTTGTCCTGTCATCAACAAATTCACAGAAATGCACCAATTTGTCCGTTGTGTAAAGCAAAATCACGTTCACGTAATCCAAAAAAACCTAAAAAGAAAGACTAATAATGTCACTCTGATAATTGTTAGTTTTTGTCTTCTTTTTTATACAAATTTAAAAAGTTGTAAAAAAATTAGGAAGTTACAAACAATGATTATTTTTAGATTATTTAAATAAATTACATGAAAGTGTTATTAATTTTAAATTGAAATTAATACCTAAACAATCAAATAATTTTATTCAATTAATTATAATTAATTATACTTTTTTATACTTTTTTACTGCATTGAATACTCGATTTTATTATAAACATTACTCTCTTTAAATATACAATTAGTAAATAATATGAAAAAATAATGATAATTGTATTTATCAAAACTCTGTGTAAATGATATTAATTTATGATTAAATTTTTTTTTTAATTTTAAGAAAGTAAAATGGATATGTATGTTAAATTTTCCATTTGAAAAATTGTACTTTTATCATTTTAATAACTTAGCTAATAAACTCGATATGAAAGAAAAAATCCACTTATTTTTCACCATTGTAACTATTAACGTCATAATATTTATAGTAAAATTTTTCTTCCTTTGTTAAAAAGTTTATTTTTATAATCATTTTATTCAATCAATTTTTTCCACAAAAAACATGCAAGAATTTTCCATATATTTGCTCTTCACTATCGTTTGTGTTAGATTAAAATTTTTTTATAATACCAAATAATGATACAGTAAATGAAAATAGAATTAAAATGAAATATAATACTAACAATCGATATTTAGTATATTTATCAATAACGATGAATAACTTTCGAATACAAAAAATATTAACGTAGTTTTACATTATGAATAAAATATCGGTAAATTGACAATCGTTTTTTTTTATTCAATCGTGCGAGACATCGGTTAGCATTTGAATCAATACAAATACTATTTTGTGATAACACAAAAATAAAGGTAAAAAGTAGCAGTGACTAAAATAGGAAAAATGGCCAACTTTGATTTTTTCAAGTGAATAAAATTTTAGAAACAATAACTCGCTTATTTCACAAGAGTGCATAACATAGAAACATTATTTTTGAATAAATCACTTTGTTTATTCATATTGAAAAAAAAACAAAAAAGAATTTAATAAATGATGAAATCCACTCCAGCATAAAAGAGGAATAAAAGCAATATTTTTATATTGAGTACAGAATTATTTGTTTTACAAAAAAGATTTCGCAATAAAAAAAAAACAGAATGTTATAATAGTTGACAACACACCAATGTAAATAATTCAAATGCATTTATTAATATTTTTTATTATTTTACCTTTATTCTATTGTCAATTATTACCAACAATAATAACGAATTTTTCTCTCTAAATTCACTACCACTAATTTCAATCAATTCCTCACTATCTTTATTCCTTTGTATATTGTTAATTCTTGACGTTTCTAACTTTCTATTGATTCAGTGAATATCGCAAATAATGCACCAATGAGTACAAAACATTAGAATGCTTGCAGATTGTTGTTGACGCTAGAGCAGATAGAAAGAGGATTTACCAGTCCAAGTAATTTCCAAGCACATTGAGATAGACTGCGTGAATATGAAGCTCCACAGAGAGCAAGAAAGAAGATACAGCTGAACCTCATTGACATTCAGAAAGAGTCCTCAATTCCCTTTACTCATTTACCTCTTTAATATTCACAATTCTTTATTCCTATTCCGCCAATCGAAATTCTCTATATTTTTTTTTTTTTTTTCAATCCATAACACAAAAGACTGCCGACCTAATTGGCCACAGTATACAAAAATATTTTCCATCTTGTTAAGATGACTGATATTATCCATCGGAGCACAAATAGCATGAATTTATCAATGAATCTATACCAGTCGAGTACGTGACTTAACAAAGCTGAGTGTATTTTAGCTAAACTAACACAGTAGATAAGCTATTAAATCAATGTTTCTTTTTGTCTTACTTTTATTCAATTATTAAATATAATGCTAAATTAAAAGTATGCTGTAAATCCAAGTGTGTTATTATTGTAGACATTTTTTACACGCTTAAATGGTGTCTATAATAAAACATTAAACATAACACTTTAAGCATGAGGAATAAACTTTAGCTTCGTCTTATGAAACGACGTGTTTCTGTCCACAATAGAGGAATAAAACATTACCATAAGCCCTCCTGTAATACAGAGATTTTATGTGTTATGTCAATTCCTTATCCTTAAGTTTAAACATACTAAAATTTCATGATAATTGGAGATGTGTAACTTAATCTGCATAATTACCGTTTAATGTGCTTATTATGGTGGGTCTTTTAAATGTATTCAATGTTAAATGCCATAAAGAAATTATATATATTTTCTACACACTCTAAAGTGTGTAAAAAGTGTCTACAAACCTTGTGTAGTTTATTTATGGACATTTTACATTGAACCTACTTCAATCGTGTTATTTTAACACGTTTAGATTTACAGTGGTACAACATGTATTCACCAAAGAAAAAGTTTGATGATTTTTTTTTTTTTTTTATTATCAACAATTTCTCAATTTATTTATGATGCAATATTATTTTTGTAATGACTATATTTTCTTTTATAAAAAGAAAATTACACCATTGGAATAATTATTATTTTAATTTGAGAGTTTCTTTTTACTTTATATATTTCTGATTTCTTTATTTATACACATAATCAAGATTTCACTGGTGATACATCTCCATCAACGGTAACTCAATTTAAAATATGAATTCTTCAGAAATATTTCTTCTATAAATTCATGTTTACAATAAAATAAATGACTATGATATAATAATAAAAGTTATGAAATATCGAAAAGAAAGATAGGAGTGAGTGAGATGATTTTTCTCAAGACAATACGGGAAAATTTAATATAAAATATAATATCGGAGCGGGCCAGTTGAAATTTGCTACGTCATCAGGTCTTAGTGAAACCCGAAATACGTGAGTTTGATGTTGAGGGTGCTTAACACGCGAGTTTATAAGAGGTATACCAGCTAAGACGTCGGAAGGCCATTTTATAAGCTATTCATTTTCTCTTGCTATATCGAATAACCTTGCATACATACAATGTAACTTATATATACACACAACATTTTCAGGCCTATTTTAAATCAATGCATTTATCAATTGACTTTGCATTCATCTAGAAGGGTGTTATCACACATCTTTCTAATGATTAATTATTTTTTTAGAATTTCTTATTGAATGAAATTAATCAGTAGACAATAAATTAGTTTTAACAATTAATGAGTGATTTAGGGGAATATATCACAGTTAAAGTTTAACAATAAAACAAATTTTTATCTTGACTTTTGTCTGTTTAAATGCGGAAATAATAAATCTGCTAAATAAATGAGATTAGATTTGAGTAATAAAGAAGATTGATTTTAAGCTTAATCTAGGTTCGCTTTTGGAACCAATTGGTCCTGGAGTTCAGTTATAAATCTCATCCAGATTGCCGACAAGAGGAAATTGGAGATCGTGATATGAAACTATCTACTACATTACATTTACCTCCTTCACGAACAGTAGGATTTCTTGATTTTATTTTATTTTTTTTTTTTTTTCCTCTCTTTACCTCATAGGAATTTGTTCAGCAATTCTGGATATCTATATAATAGCTAAATCACGATTCGTATAAAACCATCCTTTCATTACTTTTACCATTTTTTTCTTCAATGTACTGCATTTTTCTTTATAGAATTTATCTCTGAAAAGCATTTCCTGATGAACAGAAGCTATCAGAAAATAATTCGACTGTTTTCTTTTTCTTTTTAGCTTTCTATTAAAATGAGGAAAAAAATCTCATTATGTAAACTGAAATTTTCCTTTTTTATATACCTCAGTCTTTTAAGTTAATTTATTTTCACTTAATTAATTGTCATTTATTTAGAGTTATAATTAAAAATAATTGATAGGTTTCATCTAATTTGATCGAAAAACTCGGCAATTTTTACATTTCATTTCTTATTTAATAAATTCCTTCAAGACTATTAACACGAACTCATTGCTCATCTATTTTATACTAATTACTCTTATAGTCGATATTCAAGCGTTGAATAGGATTTATATTACATGAAAGCTCACGAACGTTTGATTAGACGTCTGAAGAAAACAGAACAGACTTGGTAAAGTAAAATGGACATTGATGTTGGTGCACGAAAAGATATGTTACTGCATATACATACTAGATAATGGGGGGAGGAGGGGGGGGAAGAGTTGGAAATAAAAAATATCTTTCAAATTAATGAAATTATTTAGAAAATTCAATTCCCCCCCCCTTCCCCCTAACATTATTGATTGAAAAAAATAATTTGAAAAATGTTTCTTTATCGGGGTCTTTTCAATGTCATTCATGTCAATGTCTTGACCATTTTAATTTCCTAGTTTTATTTTTCTCGATTTTTCGTAAGACAATGACAACAAAAGTCCTCTTCTTCGGGAACTCTGCACACGCTTTCCGACCCCATTTCCTTTTCATATTACCATGATTCTTTATACCGTTTTCTTTGTCACTATTTTATCCTCTCAGCTATTATTTTATTATTTGTTCACAACAACATGCTGAAAATGCTTTCAACATTTCCTTTTGATAATTATTCAATCAACTGTTACTCCTCATCAATTCAGTTCTTAAATAAATTGTATATATAATTACTCGAATTACCCTTTTATCTCTTTTCATTATAAGAAAAGCAAATAGTCTTTGAAATGAATCTGGTAATTATTTAAATACGTGTCATAATGATTTTTAAAAATGAAAATAAATATTTTATAAGGATTGTTGTAGTATTTGTTTAATTGATTTAAAAGTAAAGTGTTTGAAAATAATTGAATGAAGACAGTAGATTGTCTTTTGACGTGTGTGTGTGTGATTATAAAGATGAAAAATAATTTATTATTTGACTTATATAGCAAGAAATTGAGATTAGTTAGTGATGGATGAAGTTTTATGAAGAAAATTAAAAAAAAAAAGTCGAATGAATGTGTTGCCAAATAGTGAGGGTAATTCTATAAACGTTAGTGTATCGATTTACCAAGGAAACGGTCACTGTTCAAGATATAAATAGCTCACCGACTATTGTATCAGGTTAGTAATACTAAATGACAATATTAAGTCAAGCGAATTGATTTTTTATCCATTACATTAAATAAATCCCAATAATTTATCGTATCCATCTCATGTGCGTGACCTC